AATGCTTTGGGGAAAAATCCTTTACAAATAATTAACTGGTTACCCGCATCAGAAGTGAACTATCCAAATTCGATGCGCAGCGTATGGGGAAAGGGTGGGGGGGGGGGGGTGGGGGGGGGGTGGAGGGGGGGTGGAGGGGGGTAACAAAAAAAAATCGAGTACATGGTGACAATATTAGTGGTAGTTACGAAAAGAGACAATGTGAGGCCAAGAGAGTATACATTAATTCTTGCGTCCTTTTTAGGACGAAATTTTTTGTTTTTTGAAGCCCCACCCTGGCTTTTGCCAGGGGTCGCAATATAGGCAAGCCATAAATATGGCCAATTGTCTGAACGCGGTTTCTGGGACCTCTCCACGGCGATCGTCATCCACATGGTGGCACTTTGTGTCATCGGGTGTTTATCGTTTGTGTGATGTCCTGGTGGGGTAGAAAGTCAGTCAGTCAGTTAGGCCAAGAGAGACAATGTGAGGCTAAGAGAGACGCTGACTGAGCCTTTGCTGTGCTGGCAGGAACAGATATTATTGATAGTCATCGAGACCTATAGCTGCGCACAGACAGGTGGTCGACATCACATGGCATGGGCTAAAACAATGGTGACTACCAGGGGGATGTCGGAATTAAAGAAGTACGACAACAATCACTGAGGAAAAGGCAAAACGACTAGTTAACCCCGACGACAACGCTTACAACAGTACGGAGATTCTTCCCTGCCTGTTGAGGAGGGCGACAGACAGAACTAAACGATACTTGTCTTGATTCTTCCCTGCCTGTTGAGGAGGGCGACAGACATAACTAAACGATACTTGTCTTGAATGGTGCAATGTTGAATCTTTTCCTAGATGACTGGACCCCAAAAAATATTGGCAAAGAATAACGTCAAACGAGTAAAATACTTCGACCAAATAACAGACAAATAAAGTTACGGGAAATGGTGGAGGGCAGGCAAGCAAAAGGACAAAAACAATACACATTGACAGACAATATTAGGCTATAATATGCAAAAAGAGGGTTTAGATGATGCCCCTTACATACAGGTGGGCACCAGCTACCTAGACAGATACAGACACTAGTCTGCTGTCTCTCAGCTTAGCAGGTACACAGTTCAGACATGTAGATACACGTCTGCCAACTTGACATGTAGATACACCAGTCTGTCAGCTAGACATATCACAAAATCAGTCTGCCAGCTTGACATGAGGGCTTTGGGACAGTGAATCTACATCACTCGCCAGAATGATAGACTTGGCATGGGGAAACAACAAGACGCACACCAGGCACATCAAAGGAGTTGTCAATCAACTTGAAACTGGTACTGGTACTAGTAATCAGCCACCTGACGCTGGGGTTTGTACTGAGGTGAGGATCTAAGAACCTATGGACACTTCCGGAGTGCAGTGTTGATAACCCAACTATCTAAGACACCAAGATTAAAACCCAATACCTGCCAACTCTCAACTAGACATGAATTGACACCAAGAAGAAAACCATTAACGCCTGTCACCTCCCGTCTCCGTCCATAAACCACAAGTCGTCTGCACCCGTTAGCTGTTTCATTTCTAGAGTATCTTCCCCTAACAATTTTTGACCAATCAAATTGAAGGAAACTATTAACTCCAGAACATTAAAGGCTCTTTCAAAACAAATGGAGCGACTTCCGGCATGCTACTAGAGCTTCAGTCATAAACCACTATCATGGACATAGTGTCTCTCTGGAACTTGGCAAGTTCTTTATCACACAATCTCGTCTTTTCTTTCCTCTTGCTCCCTTTTAGAAAAAAAATGTCATATCACTGCTAGTGGGGACACATGAATTGATCAAACGAAGAATGCTTTCTCTCTTTCTAGTAAAATTCTACTTCTAGTCTACTCTAGTTAGTAGAGTTCTACTCTTGGTCCGTAAGATTGAACATAACTCAAAACTGAATCACTTTAATTATTTAAGTCCCAGGGAGTTTAGCATCAGAGTCCCAAGAGGTGGTAATGCAATTATTTAATTTCAAAAGTGTAATATATTAAAACAGACAATACTAATCCAACTGTCACGCAACATACACATATTAATAATATAAATATTATTATTATACATCAAAGTGACCAGGGATTGTTGGGAATAATAAAATACAGCACTCTTCCGAATACCAGTCCCAAATTATTCACTGCAAAAACATCCCTTTGAGAGCCTCAAGAGTTATGTAGTAAAAACATTTATGCCATCATCATCAGTTTCTACTTCTGTCGTTATTGCTAGATGGATAGCAATGTTAATACGTTGAGCTAAGAGCCTTGGGGAGGAATAGTTTTTGATCCATTGTTCACATTACCCGTGACTCGGCAAATAGATCCACTGCCAAATAAAAAGCATGTTGTAAATGACAACTAATTAAGACTGCTGAAAGCGGATGAGTTGGGGCAAGAGGCGCAGATATTGCAGCCTAGCTCTAAACAGCAACACAATGTTCCAACCACCTTTTTAAGGGATAAACAAATTAGAGTTTGGTTTCCATGAAATAATATATAACGCAAAGCATAGTTCGTAGTGTTCCTATTCCATATGTTTAACTATATGACCTCGCTAAAATGTATCCAAACTGAATCACAAATGAATATGAACCACTTAGTAATGTATAAATAAAATATAAAATCAATCTCTGCATAAGATAATGTTCCAGAGAATCTTTTGAAGCATCGTAACAGAGCCCCATTATTTGATAAAGAAAACTGACTTTCCAAAAAATGTTAGTATCTTCGCACAAAACAAAGTTTATTTAACACTCAGTTTGCCTGTAATTTTGTAGCTATGTTTCTAAATAATTAGTTGAATAAGAGAGCACTAGAACTAACTAACACAGAGAGAGCACTAGAACTAACTAACACAGAGAGAGCACTAGAACTAACTAACAGAGAGAGCACTAGAACTAACTAACAGAGAGAACACTAGAACTAACTAACTAACTAACAGAGAGAGCACTAGAACTAACTAACACAGAGAGAGCACTAGAACTAACTAACACAGAATAAAATCTCCTTTCACTAGTATTTATTCTGTTTGTGTCAGCCTACTTTCTATTGCTGTACCATTTGCATGAGGTACACATTAGACCTATCCCTTATCAAAGTTTGACTCTATAAATGACTGAAACACGTCTACTTCGCAACTGTATCTATCTAACTTTGGATCAATTTAATAAGCAGGTGCTTTATTTAAATTTGAGGCTTCTAAAGCCGTAAATCGCGTTGGCATGCATGCAGAATACTGCTCAGTGGCCATATTGTTTTCAAACAAACAGTAACTCGGTAAATCTCGCAATTATACTATATTTTCGGCTTTTAAACCACGTTTTCAAATGAGCACGCCTGATATCAGACACAGAGAACTCAAAATGAAGTTGAAATTGAGCGGTCCGTGTTTTATTACCAGTCAGCAGTAAATTAAAAACTTTCCCTTGTCACGTGTCGATTGGGCTGCTGGCTTGTAACCAATTACCGTGATGCGTTGCCTGGGACTCAAAGAGTTAACAAATAACGAAGCTCAAAGATGAATAATCTTAACTCAAATAACAAATATCACAGATTTTATTTATTACATTGACGTAAATACTTAAAATTCAAATTATGTAAACCAATATGGACCTTACCACAGAATTGGTAAACAAATTTTCCAGGTATCATAGATTGTACTATATATTAGGGCTGTACCGAATATTCGCTTCGTATTCGCTTCGGGGCCGAATAGTGGACCCAATAACTATTCGGTATTCGGCCGAATAGTTGCGGTCGGGCCGAATACGAATCGTGGTTACCTCACAACCGTTTCTGGACTGGTGGAAAAAAAACATCAAGACTTCCCACCTTGGTTTATACTGTGAAGCGTTATCTTTGTGCACCACCTACGAGCGTACCAAGTGCCCCTTTATTTCCATCTTGCATGTGTTGCGAGTATAGTGTTTTTAGGTGTGTTGCTGTAGAAACAAAATGCAACACTTAAAAATGTAAGAAGGGCAGAAAAGCAAGTGTTCTAGTATTGTCGGCTTGATTTCTTTGAGTGGAGTGTCCTCTTCGTTGATTCTTTGAAGTAACGGGAGTTCGTCATCATTTATGGGTGTCGTATCTGTTCTTTCGTCGTCTCGTGGAAACGGCAGCGGCTGAATGTTTTGATCGATGTTCGGTTTCTTGATTGTCTTTGTTGTTTGATCTTCTGGCGTTGGCCGCCCAGCGTCTGGTTTCGTGAGCTCGCGGAGGGCTGGGCGACTTGTAAGGACGGCATTGTTTTCTTCGTCAGCGTTATTTTTGTTTTTGATGTTTCGCCTTGCGGGTTTTCATTTTGACTCTCTGTATTTGTCGTATTTTCCTGTTTAGTACAGCTGGAAATACATTCAGTGAGACAAAAAGCGGGCCTAATGCTGACAATATGGAACGAAGGTTTTTCATGGAGGTGTGTCAGCACACAAACTAATACGTGCTGCAGGAGATCGCAGATTGTGGCGAGGCATAATCGCCCATGCCAGCCAGCAAAGCACATGATGATGATGATTCACTATTCGTATTCGTATTCGGCCGAATAGTTGGTCCAGCTATTCGTATTCGGCCGAATAGTGAAAATCATTATTCGGTACAGCCCTACTATATATATATATAAATATATCCATATATGTATCATTTGCTGTGCTTAACAATATATAGAAGTCAAAGGGAATTAGTTTCAAGAGAACTCAGTAGACAGCAATGTTGTAGGAATTCTGTTATCTCACTCACCAAAACCTGCCATTACTCCTGCATTACCACAGATGTTATAATAATAATACTTCAGTGTACAAGTGTATTTTCAGACAAATTGCCTACAGCGTTAACAGAACCATAGTTCCACAATTTCAGACCAGCAGTAAATTGAAACATCTTCATTGGATTTTTCATCAGAATAAAGTCACTCAGTGACTGATCATCTGCCTGTTAATCAGCTTATGCCACCGAAGACGGCTGGTCACAACTAGGCCAGTTTACAATGAAAGTCGTCCATGATCGTGTCTCACAGATTTACTATACATACGGACTGTTTTGTGCCAGCCACCCATTTGTCACAATCATCTCTGTCATTGTTACAGTACTTATTACATGGTGAGTTTGTCACATGTATCTCTGTCATTGTCACAGTACTTGCTACATAGTGATACTTACTAGATAGTGAGTCTTTCACAGTCATCTCTGTTATTTTCACAGTCTTATTGCATGGTGAGTTGTCACAGTCATATCTGTCATTGTTACAGTACTTATTACGTTGTAAATTTGTCAGTCATTTCTGTTACTTTCACAGTATTCACTACATGATGTGTTTGTCACAATCATCTTTGTCATTATCACATTACTCATTACATGGTGAGTTTGCCACATTTCATCTCTATCATTGTCACAGTACTTGCTACATAGTGATACTTACTAGATAGTGAGTCTTTCACAGTCATCTCTGTTATTGTCACAGTACTTATTGCATGGTGAGTTTTTCACAGTCATCTCTGTCATTGTCACAGTACTTATGTGGTGAATTTGTCATTTTCATCTGTCATTGACACATTACTTATTAGTGGTCAGTTTGTCACAACCATCTCTTTCATTGTCACAGTACTCATCAGATGGTGAATTAGTTCTGAATTCTCAGTTGCATTAACAAATGCTAGAGTTTTGTTTTTCTCCCTGAGTACACATTATGTAATCACAGATGACATTACTGCACATTATGTAATCACAGTTGACATTACTGCACATTATGTAATCACAGTTGACATTACTGCACATTAGGCATAAAGATAAAGTCGAGAGGATTGACTTCATTGCACAGGGTTTTATTCCATATGGCTGGGTCTCTTTCCGCAGAACAGCTGACGGAACTCTCCATATGGCTGGGTCTCTTTCCGCAGAACAGCTGACGGAACTCTCCATATGGCTGGGTCTCTTTCCGCAGAACAGCTGACGGAACTCCATATAGCTGGGTCTCTTTCCACAGAACAGCTGACGGAACTCTCCATATGGCTGGGTCTCTTTCCGCAGAACATCTGACGGAACTCTTCATATGGCTGGGTCTCTTTCCGCAGAACAGCTGACGGAACTCTCCATATGGCTGGGTCTCTTTCCCCAGAACAGCTGACGGAACTCTCTGTATGGATGAGTCTGTTTCCGCAGAACAGCTGACCGAACTCTCCATATGGCTGGGTCTCTTTCCGCAGAACAGCTGACCAAACTCTCCATATGGCTGGGTCTCTTTCCGCAGAAGAGCTGACGGTACTATCCGTATGGATGGGTCTCTTTCCGCAGAACAGCTGACCGAACTCTCTGGCTCCAGGGACAACCTGCAGGGATCTCCACAACAATTGCACTTGTGAACTGAAGGGTGCAGCCAGAAAATGAACCCACGAGCTTTAGAACATGAGGCAAACAGCTCAACCACGTTGCGGCATTCCCATGCTTAGTCTGGCTCAGCACACAAGAAGACAGTATAATGAAAAAAATTGAATGATTACAAGTGTGAGCTTGCTCATAACTTCAGATTCAATTCTAACTGGTCACAGAGTAGAATAGTTGCTGGCAATATTGCACAACTCCCAGCACTTCACTGAGCTAACACAGCACAACCTCCAACACTTTACTGAGGTAACACAGCTTCCAGCCTCCAACACTTTACTGAGGTAAACACAGCCCAGCCTCCAACACTTTACTGAGGTAACACAGCACAACCTCCAACACTTTACTGAGGTAACACAGCTTCCAACCTCCAACACTTTACTGAGGTAAACACAGCCCAGCCTCCAACACTTTACTGAGGTAACACAGCACAACCTCCAACACTTTACTGAGGTAACATAGCTTCCAGCCTCCAACACTTTACTGAGGTAAACACAGCCCAGCCTCCAACACTTTACCGAGGTAACACAGCTCAACCTCCAACACTTTACTGATGTGATGACCCTGCTTTGCATGGTCTCCACAAGTACATTGTGGCAAGCAGGAAGTCCGTGCTACAAGTGACGGCAAAAGATACTTGTGGCCGGTGGAGTAAGCGAGGCGAAGCCCGAGCTAGCCTCGTGGTCAGTCGATCATGAGAAGTCAGAGAAGACGGTTGTAGTATTTGAGGATGTCGTCTTTATGTCGGGCAAATGGTTAATGTTCGAATGTGTCGCGAGTGAAATAAATGGGCCAGAATAAACTGACAGATTGTACAACGAAGCTGAGTGGCGTTAGTGTTGTCAACCCTAGATGTTAAAGCTGGTGCAAACCAAGGTTCATTTCAAGTCTACGTCAAGGTTCATTCCAAGCAGACCACGATTCATTCCAAGTTGAATCAGAATCATTTCAAGATAGTTGAAAGCGTAACTTCAAGTCTACGTTTTGACTTATTTCAAGTGGGAGCTCGTCCGAAGGAAATTCGAAACCATGCGGACCTCAATCATATGAAAACAATTTTTCTTGCAAGGTAAGATAAACATGCGGAAAACAGTGTACAATACAACGTTTTTACCCGAGCAGGGCCTATAATTAACACAGCAAGCGCCGACAGGTCAGCTGCCGACCAATGAAAACCGGTGTGTCATCTATGCCCTGCCACACACCGTATCACTAAGTTTAGCGAATTCAGGAAATTTCATGGTCACCAGAGTTACACATCGTTAATATTATAAATCAAGTTTGTGAATTAAATCAGATTTGTGACGATTATTGTTTCGCGGAAACTAGCGGACTATGAACTAATTTTATTTACAGTTACGATCAGTTTGCTTACTACAGTGACATTTTTTGCATCGATTGTGCGTGTATCAGAACGGCATCTAAAAGGTTGGTAAAAAGTAAGAACACTTTGTCGCAAGTATCTTCAGCGACAACAATGAAAGATACATCGATAAGTAACCAGAAGATCAAGATGTGCATTTTTTGCAAGTACCAGCACAGTTCTTCAACTATCTGCGACAGAGATCCTAAATATTCAAGTTATATTGAAGACTTGGTCAATAAAAAGTGGCAAAATAAACAAAAGAATAACCTTAAAAAGTGCCACTTCTGTAAAGCATTCGGACATATTGTAAAACACTGTGTTGGGAAACAGATGTTAAAAGACAAGAAAAGATCCTTGTTTGCAAAAACTAATTCAGTTAAAATAGATTCAGAAGGTATTTCTACTCTAGATTGTTCACTGTGCTACTGGAGAAAGAATCAAGGAAAAGTTACAGCTCCACATATCATGTTTATAGGAAAAAGCCAATTGAAATGTCCAGGAACTAAAAAGATAAAGAACGAAATTGTGATTGCAGAGCTAGAAACACAGCTTCCAGCCTCCAACACTTTACTGAGGTAACACAGCTTCCATCCTCCAACACTTTACTGAGGTAACACAGCTTCCAGCCTCCAACACTTTACTGAGGTAAACACAGCTCAACCTCCAACACTTCACTGAGGTAACTGGAGGGAGTGAAGAAATACACTGTCCACTCTCCACCACTGAAGTAACTGCCAGGAAAATAGGAGGTGAATCAGGGTAGATCAGAGGACATGTTTAGATTACCTAGCACATGAAGCAGAGACAGCAGCAGCAAAAGGAAACTTTAGAGACCATTACAGAACGACAAGGAAATTAGTAGGTAAATACTGTCAGCCAACTAGGTCAGTCAAAAATTGTCAGATAGTCACTAAAGATCAAATGGACAGTTTGTCTCAATATTGTCCAATATTTCTGAATAGACCCCCAGCTGCTGAGTTCCTCAAGATATGCAGACTTTAGAAATAGAACTGGATATCAACTGTGAGATGCCATCTGAAGAGGAAATTAGGAAAGCTATCAATCTTCTGAAGGAAGGAAAGGCAGCAGGTCCAGATTGTATCCCAGCAGAAGTTATTAAGGCCAATATAAACACATGAACAAAATTGCTACATAGATTATATTTAGTAAAAGTTGAAAAAAAAAAATACCAACAAACTGGAGGAGAAGGATATCTTGTGACCCCCCCTGGAAAGATATTAACTAGGATTATATTTTAAAGACTAACAGATGCTATTGAGAACAATCTCAGAAATGAACAGGCAGGTTTTTGGTACCTCAATCTTAGCCATGCATGTGGCGCAAAAAAAATGACCACTAATATAACCACCTGAGACTGTTGGTAGTTTCGCTACCAACATCAGGTTGAACGTGGTCTAGTTTTGAAAAAAAATTTTTTTAATCTAGAATGGAATTGGAATTGGAGTGTCTAGCCTTGTCAGACAATAGGCTATAACTATGCTTGTTGTACATTTCAGTTGTCACACAGTAATTGGGTTTAAACAAGAGCTGATTCAATTAGACCTAGGTACAATTTGTAATTCTGGTATACACACATTTGGAACCTAGCTGGCATTGCTGAGTTTCTACATGGTGCTGAATTTGTTCATTGTATTGTGTTTGTACATTTGCTGAGTTTGTACATGGTGCTGAGTTTGTACATGGTGCTGAGTTTGTACATGGTGCTGAGATTGTACATAGTGCTTAGTTTCTACATGGTGCTGAGTTTGTGCATTGTGCTGCATTTTTACATGGTGCTGAGTTTGTACGTGGTGCTGAGTTTCTACATGGTGCTGAGTTTGTACGTGGTGCTGAGTTTCTATATGGTGCTGAGTTTGTACGTGGTGCTGAGTTTCTACATGGTGCTGAGTTTCTACATGGTGCTGAGTTTGTGCATTGTGCTGAGTTTCTACATGGTGCTGAGTTTGTACGTGGTGCTGAGTTTCTACATGGTGCTGAGTTTGTGCATTGTGCTGAGTTTGTGCATTGTGCTGAGTTTGTACATGGTGCTGAGTTTGTGCATTGTGCTGAGTTTGCACATGGTGCTGAGTTTGTGCATTGTTCTGCGTTTTTACATGGTGCTGAGTTTGTATATGGTGCTGAGTTTCTACATGGTGCTGAGTTTGTGCATTGTACTGAGTTTGTACATTTGCTGAGTTTGTATATGGTGCTACTATCCTTTGTGATTAATGAATAGACACTGACACATGTATGGAGATACCAGTGTGCAATGAAAGTGACCTAGCTAAATCAATCAACAGTTCTAATTTTAAAACTACTGCTTGCATTGAGTGTGTCAGGCCAGACCTTATACACTACAAACACGATTTGTCTGTCTCCTAGTTATCCTCTGACCAATGTCCCCCTGCCTGGAAACACTCCCATAGAGCACAGAACTCTCAGGTTGGGCTATGCTGTACCAGACTGGTCTCATGCAGCTACTGATGGACCTACGGATGATCAGAAACGGCCTCGATGGGTAAGCGGTCATGTACTGGAGTTGTCTGCTGTAGATGTGAGTCTAAACTGTCCAGTACTGGAGAGTTGTCTACTGTAGATGTTGTCCAGTACTGGAGAATTGTCTACTGTAGATGTTGTCCAGTACTGGAGAATTGTCTACTGTAGATGTTGTCCAGTACTGGAGAGTTGTCTGCTGTAGATGTTGTCCAGTACTAGAGAGTTGTCTACTGTAGATGTTGTCCAGTACTAGAGAGTTGTCTACTGTAGATGTTGTCCAGTACTGGAGAGTTGTCTACTGTAGATGTTGTCCAGTACTGGAGAGTTGTCTACTGTAGATGTTGTCCAGTACTGGAGAGTTGTCTACTGTAGATGTTGTCCAGTACTGGAGAGTTGTCTACTGTAGATGTTGTCCAGTACTAGAGAGTTTTCTACTGTAGATGTTGTCTACTGTAGATGTTGTCCAGTACTGGAGAGTTGTCTACTGCAGATGTTGTCTACTGTAGATGTTGTCCAGTACTGGAGAGTTGTCTACTGTAGATGTTGTCCAGTACTGGAAACTTGTCTACTGTAGATTGTGTCCAGTACTGGAGAGTTGTCTACTGTAGATGTTGTCCAGTACTAGAGAGTTGTCTACTGTAGATGTTGTCCAGTACTGGAGAGTTGTCTACTGTAGATGTTGTCCAGTACTAGAGAGTTTTCTACTGTAGATGTTGTCCACTGTAGATGTTGTCCAGTACTGGAGAGGTGTCTACTGCAGATGTTGTCTACTGTAGATGTTGTCCAGTACTGGAGAGTTGTCTACTGCAGATTTTGTCTACTGTAGATGTTATCCAGTACTGAAGAGTTGTCTACTGTAGATGTTGTTCAGTACTGGAGAGTTGTCTGCTATAGATGTTGTCCAGTACTGAAGAGTTATCTACTGTTGATGTTCTCCAGTACTGAAGAATTATCTACTGTGATTGTTGTAAAGCACTGGATAGTTGTCTACTATAGATGTTGTAAAGTACTGGATAGTTGTCTACTAGAAAGTGAGCTGGTTGGTAGTCAGCTGTCCAGTCAAGTACACATGCTTTTGTCTGTGACATGATTTGGTCCGTGTCCTAGTGAAGACTTATGTTGGTAAAAAGTAAGAAAATGCTTCCACAAAATTATTGACCATCAAAGATACTGCTGGCAGCTTTTTCGTGCCAGGGACTTGGATGAACAAGTCAGTCACAACGGCTGGCAGCTTGTGTGTGCCAGGGACTTGGGTGAACAAGTCAGTCACAACGGCTGGCAGCTTGTGTGTGCCAGGGACTTGGGTGAACAAGTCAGTCACAACGGCTGGCAGCTTGTGTGTGCCAGGGACTTGGGTGAACAAGTCAGTCACAACGGCTGGGAGCATATTCCCTTCACTGAAAGTAAACTCAGATACACCCAGCATTATCTGGACATCAAATATTAACAGATGGACAAGAACACACTTAATGAGAAGCCAACTCCTGCTTCACATATGAAGTCATGTCGTGTAACCACTTTGACCTTCTAGTTATGGGAGTGGGGCAGGCAAGGTGCACCATATCATGTGATCCAGTTTCATGACACAGGCGTATGGTGTTCTGTCCCAGCATTGCTCAATCATAGTTAGAGAGCAGCCATTATAAATGTCTCTTCACCAACCACTGTTTGTAGCAGGGCCTATATGGTGTTCTGTCCCAGCATTGCTCAATCATAGTTAGGGAGTAGTCATTATAAATGTCTCTTCACCAACCACTGTTTGTAGCAAGGCCTATATGGTGTTCTGTCCCAGCATTGCTCAATCAGAGTTAGAGAGTAGCCATTATAAATGTCTTTTCACCAACCACTGTTTGTAGCAAGGCCTATATGTTGTGTTCTGTCCCAGCATTGCCCAATCAGAGTTAGAGAGCAGCCATTATAAATGTCTTTTCACCAACCACTGTTTGTAGCAAGGCCTATATGTTGTGTTCTGTCCCATCATTGCTCAATCAGAGTTAGAGAGCAGCCATTATAAATGTCTTTTCACCAACCACTGTTTGTAGCAAGGCCTATATGTTGTGTTCTGTCCCAGCATTGCTCAATCAGAGTTAGAGAGCAGCCATTATAAATGTCTTTTCACCAACCACTGTTTGTAGCAAGGCCTATATGTTGTGTTCTGTCCCAGCATTGCTCAATCAGAGTTAGAGAGCAGCCATTATAAATGTCTTTTCACCAACCACTGTTTGTAGCAAGGCCTATATGTTGTGTTCTGTCCCAGCATTGCTCAATCAGAGTTAGAGAGCAGCCATTATAAATGTCTTTTCACCAACTGCTGTTTGTAGCAAGGCCTATATGTTGTGTTCTGTCCCAGCATTGCTCAATCAGAGTTAGAGAGCAGCCATTTTAAATGTCTTTTCACCAACCACTGTTTGTAGCAAGGCCTATATGTTGTGTTCTGTCCCAGCATTGCTCAATCAGAGTTAGAGAGCAGCCATTATAAATGTCTTTTCACCAACCACTGTTTGTAGCAAGGCCTATATGTTGTGTTCTGTCCCAGCATTGCTCAATCAGAGTTAGAGAGCAGCCATTATAAATGTCTTTTCACCAACTGCTGTTTGTAGCAAGGCCTATATGTTGTGTTCTGTCCCAGCATTGCTCAATCAGAGTTAGAGAGCAGCCATTATAAATGTCTTTTCACCAACTGCTGTTTGTAGCAAGGCCTATGTGTTAGACAAATTGTTGTTTGTGAAACTTTAGTGCTAATACAGCTGTGTCTATCATTATCTTTCTGCATGGACAACAGTTTGTTGGAGAACCAGTGGCATACGTCCAGCAGATTGTCCTCAAGTCTGCAGTGTCACCCTGGCATCCTCAGCATATGGTAGTCTCAGATGCCTTCAGAGCTCCATTGTTGTCTGTGTTCAAGATCATACAGGAGCTAGACAGTTTCAAAATGACTGTGGAGTATGTGTTTTTGATCTTTCAGTCCGGTGTCCAGCCTCTGTTATTTCTTGACTGATTGTATCAGTGTTTCATATCTGTGTGTTTATTGCTGCCTTGACTGATTGTATCAATGTTTTATGTATGTGTGTTTTTTGATGCCTTGACTGATTGTATCAGGGTTTCATGTCTGTGTGTTTATTGCTGCCTAGACTGATTGTATCAGTGCTTCATGTCCGTGTGTTTATTGCTGCCTTGACTGATTGTATCAGGGTTTCATGTCTGTGTGTTTATTGCTGCCTAGACTGATTGTATCAGGGTTTCATGTCTGTGTGTTTATTGCTGCCTTGACTGATTGTATCAGTGCTTCATGTCTGTGTGTTTATTGCTGCCTAGACTGATTGTATCAGGGTTTCATGTCTGTGTGTTTATTGCTGCCTTGACTGATTGTATCAGTGCTTCATGTCTGTGTGTTTATTGCTGCCTTGACTGATTGTATCAGGGTTTCATGTCTATGTGTTTATTGCTGCCTTGACTGATTGTATCAGTGCTTCATGTCTGTGTGTTTATTGCTGCCTTGACTGATTGTATCAGGGTTTCATGTCTGTGTGTTTATTGCTGCCTTGACTGATTGTATCAGGGTTTCATGTCTGTGTGTTTATTGCTGCCTTGACTGATTGTATCAGGGTTTCATGTCTGTGTGTTTATTGCTGCCTTGACTGATTGTATCAGGGTTTCATGTCTGTGTGTTTATTGCTACCTTGACTGATTGTATCAGTGTTTCATGTCTGTGTGTTTATTGCTGCCTAGACTGATTGTATCAGTGCTTCATGTCTGTGTGTTTATTGCTGCCTAGACTGATTGTATCAGGGTTTCATGTCTGTGTGTTTATTGCTGCCTAGACTGATTGTATCAGTGCTTCATGTCTGTGTGTTTATTGCTGCCTAGACTGATTGTATCAGGGTTTCATGTCTGTGTGTTCATTGCTGCCTAGACTGATTGTATCAGGGTTTCATGTCTGTGTGTTTATTGATGCCTTGACTGATTGTATCAGGGTTTTATGTCCGTGTGTTTATTGATGCCTTGACTGATTGTATCAGTGCTTCATGTCTGTGTGTTTATTGCTGCCTAGACTGATTGTATCAGGGTTTCATGTCTGTGTGTTCATTGCTGCCTAGACTGATTGTGTCAGGGTTTCATGTCTGTGTGTTTGTTGCTGCCTTGACTGATTGTGTCAGTGCTTCATGTCTGTGTGTTTATTGCTGCCTTGACTGATTGTATCAGGGTTTCATGTCCGTGTGTTTATTGCTGCCTAGACTGATTGTATCAGGTGCTTCATGTCTCTGTTTTTTTTTTCTGCCTTGACTGATTGATCAGTAGAAACATACACACACACTCACACATTTCTGTAGCTGTATTAAATATACAAACACACTCATACATAAAAGCAAGAGTGTGTGTGTGTATGTATTTATACACATACATAGTCATACACATAAATATGTGTAAGTGTATGTCTGTCTGTAAGTGAAAATCTGAGGAATCTCAGATATTTCTACTTGTCTGTGAGTGAATATCTGATGATCTGTTTGTGTGACTTGCATGTAATGAATGTTTTAGGGGCAAGGAGATGTCACTAGCAGACATTTGCTACAGAGTTTCCGAGCCGGTTAACGCTCACCACCTCCAGCAGCTGCTGCCCAACTACTCCTGTTTCATCGTGTCACCGGCCAACTTCTGGCAACAAGATGTTTCCAAGTATGTATCATCTTTGTCAGTGATAGAGATGTCTCCAAGTATGTATCATCTGTGCCAGTGATAGAGATCTTTAAGTATGTATCATCTGTGTCAGCAATAGAGATGTTTCCAAGTATGTATCATCTGTGTCAGTGATAGAGATCTTCAAGTATGTATCATCTGTGTCAGTGATAGAGATGTCTCCAAGTATGTATCATCTGTGTCAGTGATAGAGATGTCTCTAAGAACCATCTGTGTCAGTGATACAGATGTCTCCAAGTATGTGTCATCTGTGTCAGTGATAGAGATGTTTCCAAGTATCATCTGTGTCAGTGATAGAGATGTTTCCAAGTATCATCTGTGTCAGTGATAGAGATGTCTTCAAGTATGTATCATCTGTGTCAGTGAAAGAGATGTCTTCAATTATGTATCATCTGTGTCAGTGATAGAGATGTCTCTAAGAACCATCTATGTCAGTGATAGAGAGATGTCTTTAAGTATGTATTATCTGTGTCAGTGATAGAGATGTCTTCAAGTATGTGTCATCTGTGTCAGTGATAGAGATGTCTCCAGGTATGTATCATCTGTGTCAGTGATAGAGATGTCTCCAAGTATGTATCATCTGTGTCAGTGATAGAGATGTCTCTAAGAACCATCTGTGTCAGTGATAGAGATGTCTCCAAGTATGTATCATCTGTGTCAGTGATAGAGATGTCACCAAGTATGTATCATCTGTGTCAGTGACAGAGATGTCTCCAAGTGTGTATCATCTGTGTCAGTGATAGAGATGTCTCCAAGTATGTATCATCTCTTTCAATGATAGATATGTGTCCAAGTATGTATCATCTGTGTCAGTAATAGAGATGTCTCCAAGTATGTATCATCTGTGTCAGTGATAGAGATGTGTCCAAGTATTTATCATCTGTGTCAGTGATAGAGATGTCTCCAAGTATGTATCATCTGTATCAGTAATAGAGATGTCTTCAAGTATGTATCATCTGTGTCAGTGATAGAAATGTCTTCAAGTATGTATCATCTGTGTCAATGATAGATATGTGTCCATATATGTATCATCTGTGTCAGTGATAGAGATGTCTCCAAGTATGTATCATCTGTGTCAGTGATAGAGATGTCTCCAAGTATGTGTCATCTGTGTCAATGATAGATATGTGTCCATATATGTATCATCTGTGTCAGTGATAGAGATGTCTTCAAGTATGTATCATCTGTGTCAGTGATTGAGATGTCTTCAAGTATGTATCATCTGTGTCAATGATAGATATGTGTCCATATATGTATCATCTGTGTCAGTGATAGAGATGTCTCCAAGTATGAATCATCTGTGTCAGTGATAGCGATGTCTCCAAGTATGTGTCATCTGTGTCATTGATAGATATGTGTCCAAGTATGTATCATCTGTGTCAGTGATAGAGGCGTCTTCAAGTATGTATCATCTGTGTCAATGATAGATATGTGTCAAAGTATGTGTCATCTGTGTCGATGATAGATATGTGTCCAAGTATGTGTCATCTGTGTCAGTGATAGAGATGTCACCAAGTATGTATCATCTGTGTCAGTGACAGAGATGTCTCCAAGTGTGTATCATCTGTGTCAGTGATAGAGATGTCTCCAAGTATGTATCATCTGTTTCAATTATAGAGATGTCTCCAAGTATGTATCATCTGTGTCAGTGATAGAGATGTGTCCAAGTATGTATCATATGTGTCAGTGATAGTGATGTCTCCAAGTATGTATCATCTGTATCAGTAATAGAGATGTCTTCAAGTATGTATCATCTGTGTCAGTGATGGAGAAGTCTTCAAGTATGTATCATCTGTGTCAGTGATGGAGATGTCTTCAAGTATGTATAATCTGTATCAGTAATAGAGATGTCTTCAAGTATGTATCATCTGTGTCAGTGATGGAGATGTCTTCAAGTATGTATCATCTGTGTCAGTGATAGAGATGTCTCCAAGTATGTATCATCTGTTTCAGTAATAGAGATGTCTTCAAGTATGTATCATCTGTGTCAGTGATAGAGATGTCTCCAAGTATGTATCATCTGTATCAGTAATAGAGATGTCTTCAAGTATGTATCATCTGTGTCAGTGATGGAGATGTCTTTAAGTATGTATTGTCTGGGTCAGTTATATAGATGTGTCCATCTGTTTCATCTTTGTCGAGGATAGAGATATCTGCAAGGATGTATCATCTGTGTCAGTGATAGAGATGTGTCCAAGTATGTATCATCTGTGTCAGTCATAGATATGTGTCCAAGTATGTATCATCTGTGTCAGTGATAGAGATGTCTTCAAGTATGTATCATCTGTGTCAGTGATAGATATGTGTCCAAGTATGTATCATCTGTTTCAATGATAGCGATGTCTCTAGCAATGTATCTACTGTGTCTTGCTGTGATATAATTGTAAACCATAAATATACAGTGATACATGTGATACAAGCTATTGTCTCTCTCTTTGACTTGCATCTTTTTATGGCTGTCTGTAACCCTGTTGTCTATATTCTGGTTGTATGTATCCCTGTCTTGGCTTGTAACTCTATACCCCTGTCTTGGCTTGTAACTCTATATCCCTATCTTGGCCTGTAACTTTATATCCCTGTCATGGCCTGTAACTCTTATATCCCTGTCTTGGCCTGTAACTCTTTACCCCTGTCTTGGCCTGTAATTCTATATCCCTGTCTTGGCCTGTAACTCTATATCCCTGTCTTGGCCTGTATCTCTATATCCCTGTCTTGGCCTGTAACTCTATATCCCTTTATCACCTACAAGCAAAGCTAATGAGAGTGCTGACATTGTTTCTGCTTGTCTAGATTCAGTAAAGACCCTGAGATCATCAACACAATCTACAGGAAGTACGGCCAGGTGGTGGAGAGTCCGCCCACAACTAAAGGTGTCAGTCTGTGTTTGTGAGCCAAGTTCTATGACACATGTTTGTAGATTATTTGTTATGATGTGTTTGTGTGTCTGTGTGTTTTATTTTGTCTTCCCTTTTTTTTAAATATTTGCCAATGAAAACTAGTAAAAGATCTATTCTGTAAGTAGACTAATCCTTTTATGTTCTATCTTCCTGATCTAGTCACTTTCCAATATTGTGACTGATTTATTCTGTCTTCCAAAACTTGTCACTCTCATTATTTGACCAGGACATTTCTGGGACACCACTAATTTGAGGGACTTCACTCATCCAAGGATGATCAGTGTTTTTGGGGACTCCACTCATCCAAGGGACACCATTAATTTGAGGGACATCACTGCTTCCAGGGACGTCACTGCTTCCAGGAAATGCCCCATCTTTGATAAGCATAGGTGCTGAGATGGCAGTCAAGTGGCATACTGACCCAGGTCTCAGTTCACCCAGATCAAGTTTGACATGTTTTTCTTTACTGCATTTCCTGTCAACATCCTCAGCATCAACGGTCCAGAACTGGGAACTATGGATCACATGATGATATTGTCCACTGTTGATTTCATTATCTAATCGGTGACTTAAAAAAAAAAACTTTATCTCATAGTGTAGACCAGTGGTTCTCAGCTCACATGGATAAAACCTGCAGCACTCTTTTATTTGTGAAGGTTCTCCACTGACCCCTGACTTTTTAAAAAGTCATATTAAACAAACAACCAAACAAGGAAAATATTTTGTTAAAGTCAATTTTGTGTATGGGTTTGTAAATGATATCACACAGACATGATAAATGTGTTGTATTGGTTAGCAGACCACCACTTGTCTGTCTCTCCTATGACCATCGCTTGTCTGTTTCTCCTTCGACCATCAGTGTTATCTGTCTCTCCTTTGAACACAAGTTGTCTTTCTCTACTTCGATCGCCAGTTGTCTCTCTCTCCTTAGACCCCCACTTGTCTGTCTCTCCCTAGACCACCAGTTGTCTGTCTCTCCTTCGACCACCACTTGTCTGTCTCTCTCTCTCGACCATCAGTTGTCAATGACTGATGTAAATAATGACGGTTTTGGACATTTGCCTATCATTAACTGGTCTGACCATCAGACGGCTGAGAACTGTCAAGTTGACATGTTGTGTTTCTGGTCTGACCATCAGTCAGCTGAGAACTGTCAAGTTGACATGTTGTGTTTCTGGTCTGACCATCAGTCAGCTGAGAACTGTCAAGTTGACATGTTGTGTTTCTGGTCTGACCATCAGTCAGCTGAGAACTGTCAAGTTGACATGTGTTTCTGGTCTGACCATCAGTCAGCTTAGAACTGTCAAGTTGACATGTTGTGTTTCTGGTCTGACCATCAGTCAGCTGAGAACTGTCAAGTTGACATGTGTTTCTGGTCTGACCATCAGTCAGCTTAGAACTGTCAAGTTGACATGTGTTTCTGGTCTGACCATCAGTCAGATTAGAACTGTAAAGTTGACATGTTGTGTTTCTGGTCTGACCATCAGTCAGCTGAGAACTGTCAAGTTGACATGTTGTGTTTCTGGTCTGACCATCAGTCAGCTGAGAACTGTCAAGTTGACATGTGTTTCTGGTCTGACCATCAGTCAGCTGAGAACTGTCAAGTTGACATGTGTTTCTGGTCTGACCATCAGTCAGCTGAGAACTGTCAAGTTGACATGTTGTGTTTCTGGTCTGACCATCAGACAGCTGACAACTGTCAAGTTGACATGTGTTTCTCGTCTGACCATCAGTCAGCTGAGAACTGTCAAGTTGACATGTGTTTCTGGTCTGACCATCAGTCAGCTGAGAACTGTCAAGTTGACATGTTGTGTTTCTGGTCTGACCATCAGACATCTGAGAACTGTCAAGTTGACATGTTGTGTTTCTGGTCTGACCATCAGTCAGCTGAGAACTGTCAAGTTGACATGTTGTGTTTTATTTTGGTGAAGATCTCTTATTTGGCATCCCATGGAAGGAGACTGGGGTCAGTCGGTACTACATCCGCAACAGGCAGCGGGTCATCACATGTGCTGTCACTGTCATCATGAAGCAATATGAGCCCAGGTAACACTGTCTTGTCATTGCTGATCACATCTCATTTAGCAAACGTTTAATTTTTAACAAGGCCAAATTTATTAATAAATTTCTATCTCAAAATACTCCAAACTACCTTTTCCGTTTAATTAAATCAAATCCTATAAATAGACTAAATTTATTAAATTTACCTAAACCTAGAATAGATTTATATAAAACAAGTTTAGCGTACTCCGCTGCTCATTTGTGGAACCAACTTCCAATAGACCTGAAAAATTCTAAAAGTCCCTCTTCATTTAACCGTAAACTTTTTCAATTCATTCTTACAAGCGATTATATGCCACCTTGAATGTAATGTAAACCATATTGCATTATCAATTTATTATTAAACAAGGTGTGTACGATATGTATGTTTGCGCGCGCGTGTGTGCGTGATATGTATGTATGTGCAGGCGTGTTTGTATACATATGACTCTAAGTATGTTGTTTGTCTGCGTGTGTGTCTGCGAATGAATGCATCTGTGTCCTTGTGTGTGTGTGTGTGTTCGCGCGTATGTCCACGTGTATGTTTCAGTGTGAATTGGTCTGTGTGTGTTTCTGTGTGTTTAAGTGTGCCTCTTTGCTGTGTATGTGTGTCTGAGTGTGTGTGTGCGATTGGATACATGTAAGCTGTGTATATGTGTCTGTGTGTGTCTCTCTGTGCTTGTTTGCATGTGTATGTGTCTCAATGTTTTTTTTTTTTTTTTTTTTTCATATTTGATCTGACTGTGTGTATATCTTCGTTTGTGTCTGTGTGTGTCCCCGTATGTGTTTGTCTTCATGTTTGCCTGTGTGTTTATGTGTTTTGTTATCTACTTGACTTTCCAACAATGAACCAAAGGATCAGGATGTGGAGGGCTCGGGCATATCTCAAAATATGCGCTGATAAGAAACACCCACTGCATCAAGCGCTTTTTAGTGAAAAGGGCGACAGACTGAAGAGGGGGAAATCGTGGCTAGGTCGGGCAGAAGATGTTATTAGGCAAATATGCAGCCTAACCAACATCATACCTGGTGCAGAATGGATACCTTTGCCTCAGGCGTTTATTTGTACATTTTCCTGTATTGTCACACTCAACAGGCGATGTAGAGAAGAGAATCCTGTTGCTGTTAATGCAGAGATCAACGCTCTCATCGGTGAAAATTCAGACGAAGCAGATGTAATAATCTATACAGACGGATCCGTTATACGCCAAAGAAGAAGCGCATGGGCATTTACAGCACGCTCAGCGGGCAGAACAGTCAAAGAAGCCAACGGCGCCTTCTCCATGACAACCAGCAGCATGACGATGGAGGTGATGGCAGTGACACAAGCGCTTGCCTGGCTTGAAACACAAAAATACACCCGCGTGTGTATACTCAGTGATTCAATGAGTATGATCCGGAGGGTTCAGGCAGGTTCAGTGCGAAGACAATGGCTTGAATCATTACAGAAGTCCACTGTTCGTGGAGTCACCTTTATTTTTGTTCCGGGATACGCAGGCGTCGATGGAAATGAAAGAGCTGACAGGTTGGCTGGATCCGCTATCACTACCGACGGTCAGCCTATGGATCATGCTGATATTATCAATGCCCTCAGAGAAATGGGAAGAATAGAGGACTTTGGTGGCAGTGACTCCACATCACTCGCCAGAATGGCAGACTTGGGAATTAAGATCGGCACAGCAAAAAACGAGACGCACACCAGCTACGCCAGAAGACTTGTTAACCAACATAGAACTGGTACTATTAGCCATCGGACGTTGGGGTTCATACTGAGGGGAGGATCTGAGCACCTATGGACATGTCCGGAGTGCAATGAGGATAACCCAACTAACTAACTAACTAACTATATTATGTGTTTTGTCTGCGGGTGTGTCTATGAGGCTGTATGTATGTATCTCTGTGTGTGGGTGTCTGTATGTCTGTCTGCGTGAGTGTATGTATCAGCATGTGTCTGTCTGTCTGTGCATGTCTATGTGTGTTTCTCTGTGTGTATTGTGTGTGCCCTTTTGTTGTCTGTATGTGTCTGCATGTCAGAGTATATGTCTGTGCGTGCTGAATATATGTGTCTGCGTGTGTATTTCTATGTGTTTGCATGTGTATGCACTTCTGCGTGTTTGTCTCTGTGGGTGTTAGTATGGGTTTGTCTGCCTGTTTATCTGTGTGTGTGTGTGTGTGTGTGTGTTTGACTGCGTGTGTGTCTATGTGGCTGTATGTATGTGTCTGCATGTTTGTCTGCATATGTGTGTGTGTGTGTGTCAGTGTGTGAGCACGAATGTAAATATGTGTGATGTGTGCGTGTTTCCCTGTATATGTTTATATGTAAGTGTCTGTGTGTGTGTCTGTATTTTTGTCTGAGTGTGTGTGTCTCTGTGAGAGTGTCCGTGTATACATGTGTGTGTCTCCATTCATGACTGTATTTATGACTGTATGTTTGTATGTGTGTATGCCTGTATTATGTATGTATGAATGTATGTATGTGTGCCTGTATGTTTGTATCTTTGTATGTATGTTTGTGTGTATGTATGCCTGTGTGTATGTGTGTATGCATGTTTGTTTGTATGTATGTGTGTATATATGTATGCCTGTATGTGTGTATGTATGCATGTATGTGTGTGTAAGTGAGTAGGTGAGCGTGTGTATGTGGGTGTATGTATGCACGCACAGGTTTTTGCATGCACTTTACAACTCATGCTTTTGTGTTCTTTTATACTATTCATAATATGCATATCATCATATGATCATAACATGCTTTATTAGTAAAATACAATTGCTATGTGAAAGATGGTTGACTGGAAGGGCCGAATGTAAGACGGGCCTGCGTGCCCAATTTGTGACCCTTTGAAAATAAAGTTTGTTCGTTCTTCTATCTCTGGAACATCTCTTCTGTCTCTGGAACATCCCTTTAAATATCTCGTACATCTCTTTTAAATCTCTGGAACCTCTTATATCTTTGGAACATTTTTTGATGTCTCTGACACATCTGTCTTGTATCTCACTTGTATCTCTGAGACATTTCTCTTAAATCTTTGAGTCATCTGTTTTGTATCTCTGGAACATCTCTCTTAAATCTTTTCAATGTATCTTTTCTTGTATCATTAGAATACCTCTTTTGTATCTCTGGAACATCCCATGTATATCTCTGGAACATCTCACTTGTATCTCTGAGACATCTCTTATATCTCCAGAACATCCTTTGTGCATCTCTAGAATATCTCTTTTATAACTCTGGAGCATATCTCTTAAATCTCTCTAATATCTCTTTTACAGCTCTGGAACATCTATCTCCCTTGTATCTCTGAGACATCTGTCTGGTATTTCTAGAACATATGTCTTGTATGTATCTCTGGAACATCTGTCTTGTATGTATCTCTGGAACATCTGTCTTGTATTTCTGCAACATCTGTCTTGTATTTCTGCAACATCTGTCTTGTATTTCTGCAACATCTGTCTTGTATCTCTGCAACATCTGTCTTGTATTTCTGCAACATCTGTCTTGCATTTCTGGAACATCTGTCTTGTATTTCTGGAACATCTGTCTTGCATTTCTGCAACATCTGTCCTTTTATCACATCTCTTGTATCTCTGAAATATATATCCCATATCTCTGGAATATCTCTCACCTTCCCTAGTATACTTCTGTCACATTCTACCAGACTATGGTTTGTACTGATTACTAACGTTTTATACCAGAATATAACATTTAATACTAGGACATGTCTTATCATTGTCACAAAAGATGCTGCATGTTAGACAGCATACATAGACATGCACACAAATGATCAACTGTTTTTATTGGAAGTTTATCTCAGCCATCACATAGATGCTAGAACAGTGGCACCCACACACAGATGCACACACATGATCAACTGTTGCCTGTATTACAGGATTATCTCAACCCTCACACAGTTGTTAGACCAATGACACGTGCACACATATACAGAGACTCACGTGCAGACACACACACATACACACAGACTCACATGCAGACACACACAGACTCACGTGCAGACACACACACACATGATCTTCTGTTTTCTGTATAACAAGTTTAATTCAGCCCTCAGATGTGGCACCACACATAGACATCACACACACACACATGATCTTCTGTTTGACAGGCTTATCTCAACCCTCAGAGAGATGCTAGACCAGTGGCACACAAACACCACACACACGCATGATATTCTGTTTTCTGTTTGACAGGTTTATCTCAGCCCTCAGAGAGATGCTGGAACAACAGACCCACACATTGACACAGACACCACACACACACATGATATTCTGTTTTCTGTTTAACAGGTTTATCTCAACCCTCAGAGAGATGCTGTAACAATGGCACCCACACATTGACACAGACACCACACACACACACATGATTTTCTGTTTGACAGGTTTATCTCCGCCCTCAGAGAGATGCTGGAACAACAGACCCACACATTGACACAGACACCACACACACACACACATGATATTCTGTTTTTTGTTTGACAGGTTTATCTCAACCCTCAGAGAGATGCTGGAACAACAGACCCACACATTGACACAGACACCACACACACACATGATATTCTGTTTTCTGTTTGACAGGTTTATCTCAACCCTCAGAGAGATGCTGGAACAACAGACCCACACATTGACACAGACACCACACACACACATGATATTCTGTTTTCTGTTTGACAGGTTTATCTCAACCCTCAGAGAAATGCTGGAACAACAGACCCACACATTGACACAGACACCACACACACATATGATATTCTGTTTTCTGTTTGACAGGTTTATCTCAGCCTTCAGAGAGATGCTGGAACAACAGACCCACACATTGACACAGACACCACACACACACACGATATTCTGTTTTCTGTTTGACAGGTTTATCTCAGCCTTCAGAGAGATGCTGGAACAACAGACCGACACATTGACACAGACACCACACACACACATGATATTCTGTTTTCTGTTGGACAGGTTTATCTCAGCCCTCAGAGAGATGCTGGAACAACGGCACCCAGACACAGCTGTCAGTGTCAATAACTCCCAAGTGGAGGATCTTGTACATGTGCACTTTAAGGACATTAATTACGTTGTGGAGTACACGCCTCTGATGGTCACTTACCTTGCTCTCTCGTTGTACTTGTACTTCTCTGTGCGTAAGTATTGTTGGTCACCTCTCATTGTACTTGTACTTCTCCGTGTGTGAGTATTGTTGGTCACCTCTCATTGTACTTGTACTTCTCCGTGTGTGAGTATTGTTGGTCACCTCCTGTTATACTTGTACTTCTCTGTGCATGAGTATTGTTGGTCACCTCTCGTTGTACTTCTCTGTGTTTGAGTATTGTTGGTCACCTCCTGTTGTACTTGTACTTCTCTGTGTTTGAGTATTGTTGGTCACCTCCTGTTGTACTTGTACTTCTCTGTGTGTGAGTATTGTTGGTCACCTCTGGTTGTACTTCTCTGTATGTGAGTGTATGTATTGTTGGTCACCACTCACTGTACTTGTACTTCTCTCTGTGTGAGTATTGTTGGTCACCTCTCGTTGTACTTCTCTGTGTGTGAGTATTGTTGGTCACCTCTCGTTGTACTTGTACTTCTCTTTGTTTGAGTATTGTTTGTCACCTCCTGTTGTACTTGTACTTCTCTTTGTTTGAGTATTGTTTGTCACCTCCTGTTGTACTTGTACTTCTCTTTGTTTGAGTATTGTTTGTCACCTCCTGTTGTACTTGTACTTCTCTTTGTTTGAGTATTGTTTGTCACCTCCTGTTGTACTTGTACTTCTCTGTGTTTGAGTATTGTTTGTCACCTCTGGTTGTACTTTTACTTTTATGTGTGTCAGTATCGTTGCTCATCTCTTGTTGTACTTGTACATCTCTGTGCGTGAGAATTGTTGGTCACCTCTCGTTGTACTTTTACTTCTCTGTGTGTGAGTATTGTTGGTCACCTCCTGTTGTACTTGTACTTCTCTGTGTTTGAGTATTGTTGGTCACCTCTCATTGTACTTGTAATTCTCTGTGATTGAGTATTGTTGGTCACCTCCTGTTGTACTTGTACTTCTCTGTGTGTGAGTATTGTTGGTCACCTCCTGTTGTACTTGTAATTCTCTGTGTTTGAGTATTGTTGGTCACCTCTCATTGTACTTGTAATTCTCTGTGTTTGAGCATTGTTGGTCACCTCCTGTTGTACTTTTACTTCTCTGTGTGTGAGTATTGTTGGTCACCTCCTGTTGTACTTGTAATTCTCTGTGTTTGAGTATTGTTGGTCACCTCTCATTGTACTTGTAATTCTCTGTGTTTGAGCATTGTTGGTCACCTCCTGTTGTACTTTTACTTCTCTGTGTGTGAGTATTGTTGGTCACCTCCTGTTGTACTTGTACTTCTCTGTGTGTGAGTATTGTTGGTCACCTCTGGTTGTACTTTTACCTTTGTGTGTGTCAGTATCAATGGTCACCTCTAGTTGTACTTTTACTTTTGTGTGTGTCAGTATCGTTGGTCACCTCTCGTTGTACTTGTACTTCTGTATGTGTGAGTATTGTTGGTCACCTGTCATTGTACTTGAATTTTTTTTAATTAGTTCTGTATGACTTCTTGATAATTTAATGGCTTTTTTTAATGGATCCTCTAGATGCGGTATATTTATGTCAAATGTTAGGTGTTACACTAAGGATTAGGGCTGTGCCGAATATTCACTTCGGGGCCGAATAGTGAACATAATAACTATTCGGTATTCGGCTGAATACGAATAGTAGATACCTAACACATGTTTTTGCATTGCCGGCCCTAATATGACAACATGGAACGATTGGTTTTGTTGACAGCTAATGCAGCTTTCATGCATTACTAAGCCGACAGTGACAATTTCTAAGTTTAGTTACTTGTTATAATACTTAGGATTCTTTCATTCCTAGTTATTAGTTACCACAGACTGACTGAAAGATGCAAAACATAAAATGTTTTTAAATGTTTACTGTTCTGTACGAATACTAACTAGACATGGAAAGAATATAAACTCCAGCCACATCTAAGTCGATAATATGAAAATCAAGCGAACGGAAACATAAGTACTTGGGTGCAAACTTCAAGTGCTCCAACATGTGAGAGAAGAAATACAATCTAGAATACAATCTACCCTTTAACATCTGCTAAAGTCAAAATGTCTGTCTCGCAACAACAAGATAAAAATATATAAAACGTTCATAAGACCAGTCGTTTTATATGGCTCTGAAACTTGAAGCAGAAATAAAAGAGATGAGGCCTTATTACAGGTTTTCGAAAACAGACTTACGACAAATCTTTGGACCCATCAAAAATGCTAAAAGCAGAGAATGGAGAGTGAAAAGCAACAACGTAACACATAATCTGTTTAAATCACTTTTGATCACTGGCATCATGAGAACTAAAATGGTTGGGGCATATTGAAAGAATGAAATATGACAGAAGTAAAACTGTATATGCCTGAGAGAGGAATGGGCGTAGACCACGAGGCAGACAAAAAAAGAAGTTCGAGAGATAATGTCCAGCCAGACCTGCAAACCACTGGTGTCACAAATTGTGAAGAAAAGGCCAGCCAGAGAGATGCAGCAGTAAACCTCAAGGGCTCAGAATGCTAAAGAAGAAGATGACTATTCTGTGCTACTTTATGTGAAGTTAAAAGTTCAGCTGTACATTTGACATTATGAATGTGTTTTTTTTAAGATATATTTTATACACTATTTCGTATTTGGCCAGATAGTTGGTCCCATTATTCGTATTCGGCCGAATAGTGAAAATCATCACTATTGGGTACAGCACTTCTGAGGATTGATGAAATGAAGCATTTGTATTTCTGCACATTAATAGTTTCATGAGTAAATGATTGTCTTGTCCAGTGGGAGATTAGTTCACAATTCACTCATGCAATTAGTCTCTACATGACTGATTAATGCAGTTCTGCATTGGTTTTGGTTTTTGCAGGAAAAATTGAAATGGTCAAGTCCAAAATTGGTTTGGCCTTTAGTGCCGTCATGACTGTCCTGGCAAGCTTGATGATGTCTGTCAGTATCTGCACAGTGTTTGGCATGAGGCCAACACTTAACCGAGGGTCAGTGACTGTCTGCTTTTGTTGTCTAATTATGTCATTTGTGTATATGTTGGCCTTTACTTTGTGCTTTCTGTTCTGTGTGTATGTTGTTGTTAAGTTGAGTCAAGAATTGACATCACATCACTCAGGGAATTCCCACACGTGCTCCATCCTCATCTTCAGCAGCCAGCGCAGAGTTTCTCTACTGATGGTACCAGTCACAATCTGGTTATATGCCTTTTCTCTGAGTGTAGTGAGCTGGCCAGACCCTCTGGTTACACCCAGATGCCTCATTTTGTCCAGGCCTTAATAATCTTGTTTCTCTATTCTCTACTCATTCCATTGCCTTGAGGGCCTTGACCACATCTGCCTTGTCCTGCATCAAATCCCCACCCAGTGGTGCAAATCCAGCCAATCTGTCTGCCTGTTCATTACCCACTATGCCGGCATAGCTTGGAAAAAAGATCCAAAGTATGCTCACTACCCATGACCTTCCCAGTGAAGCTTGCCATTCTGCTCAAAGCATCCCTGTCTTCACTGGCCTGCCAGGCAGCAGAGGTTGCACAGACAGAGAAACGGAGGAGCTAATCCCACACTTCCATCTGTTGTCCGCACTGCTCAAGAACTTTCCAGGCTCATATTGGACTCATAAGCCACTTACTACTTTGGATGAAAGTGGTCTTCATCACTTGTGATGAACCAACAACGACATGTTGTATCTTGTCTATATTTGGCTGTATGTATGTTGTATCTTGTCTATATTTGGCTGTATGTATGTTGTATCTTGTCTATATTTGGCTGTATGTATGTTGTATCTTGTCTATATTTGGCTGTATATATGTTGTATCTTGTCTATATTTGGCTGAATGTATGTTGTATCTTGTCTATATTTGGCTGTATGTATGTTGTATCTTGTCTATATTTGGCTGTATGTATGTTGTATCTTGTCTATATTTGGCTGTATGTATGTTGTATCTTGTCTATATTTGGCTGTATGTATGTTGTATCTTGTCTATATTTGGCTGTATGTATGTTGTATCTTGTCTATATTTGGCTGTATGTATGTTGTATGTTGTCTATATTTGGCTGTATGTATGTTGTATCGGGAATCTAAGAGTGTCAATCATTTCTGTAGATATGACTGTATATGTAATATTATGTCTGTATATGTGGTACCATGTCTGTATATGTGGCTGTGTATGTGTTAAATCATGTCTGTAAATGTGGCTGTGTGTATGTTGTATCCTTTAGAGAGTCTAGCATATTTGCATATTTTGCTGTGTGTATGTTGTATCATGTATCCAAGAAAGTCAATCCTGTCTGTATATGAGGTTGTGTGTATGTTGTATGATGTCTGTATATGTTATATCCAAGAGAGTCAAGCATATCTGATGATACAAGCGTATCTGATGATATCAATTTCAGGGAGATCTTTCCCTACCTCATGATCATTGTTGGTGTGGAGAATGTGCTGGTTATCACCAAATCAGTGGTCTCCACCCCGGTCCACTTGGACGTGAAGATCCGCGTTGCACAAGGTCAGTCCACTCTTGTCATCTGTCATGTTGTACAGTGCCAGTCCATTCTTGTCATCTGTCATGTTGTACAGTGTCAGTCCACTCTTGTCATCTGTCATGTTGTACAGTGTCAGTCCATTCTTGTCATCTGTCATGTTGTACAGTGTCAGTCCACTCTTGTCATCTGTCATGTTGTACAGTGTCAGTCCACTCTTCTCATCTGTCATGTTGTACAGTGCCAGTCCACTCTTCTCATCTGTCATGTTGTACAGTGTCAGTCCACTCTTCTCATCTGTCATGTTGTACAGTGCCAGTCCACTCTTCTCATCTGTCATGTTGTACAGTGTCAGTCCACTCTTCTCATCTGTCATAACTCCACACATCACTGTCATGTTGCTCATGTTGTACAGTGTCAGCCCACTCTTCTCATCAGTCGTGTTGTACAGTGTCAGTCCACTCTTCTCATCTGTCATGTTGTATAGTGTCAGTCCACTCTTCTCATCTGTCATGTTGTACAGTGTCAGTCCACTCTTCTCATCTGTCATGTTGTACAGTGTCAGTCCACTCTTCTCATCTGTCATGTTGTACAGTGTCAGTCCACTCTTCTCATCTGTCATGTTGTAGTGTCAGTCCACTCTTCTCATCTGTCATGTTGTATAGTGTCAGTCCACTCTTCTCATCTGTCATGTTGTACAGTGCCAGTCCACTCTTCTCATCTGTCATGTTGTACAGTGCCAGTCCACTCTTCTCATCTGTCATGTTGTACAGTGCCAGTCCACTCTTCTCATCTGTCATGTTGTACAGTGCCAGTCCACTCTTCTCATCTGTCATGTTGTACAGTGCCAGTCCACTCTTCTCATTTGTCATGTTGTATAGTGTCAGTCCACTCTTCTCATCTGTCATGTTGTACAGTGTCAGTCCACTCTTCTCATCTGTCATGTTGTACATTGCCAGTCCACTCTTCTCATCTGTCATGTTGTACAGTGCCAGTCCACTCTTCTCATCTGTCATGTTGTTCAGTGCCAGTCCACTCTTCTCATCTGTCATGTTGTACAGTGCCAGTCCACTCTTCTCATCTGTCATGTTGTACAGTGCCAGTCCACTCTTCTCATTTGTCATGTTGTATAGTGTCAGTCCACTCTTCTCATCTGTCATGTTGTACAGTGTCAGTCCACTCTTCTCATCTGTCATGTTGTACAGTGCCAGTCCACTCTTCTCATCTGTCATGTTGTACAGTGTCAGTCCACTCTTCTCATCTGTCATGTTGTACAGTGTCAGTCCACTCTTCTCCACTCATTCAGTGTCAGTCACTCTTCTCATCTGTCATGTTGTACAGTGTCAGTCCACTCTTCTCATCTGTCATGTTGTTCAGTGTCAGTCCACTCTTCTCATCTGTCATGTTGTTACAGTGTCAGTCCACTCTTCTCATCTGTCATGTTGTACAGTGTCAGTCCACTCTTCTGTCATGTTGTCATCTGTCATGTGTTGTCTTCAGTGTCATGTGTACAGTCCACTCTTCTCATCTCCACTCTTCTCATCTGTCATGTTGTACAGTGTGTTGTACAGTCCACTCTTCTCATCTGTCATGTTGTACAGTGTCAGTCCACTCTTCTCATCTGTCATGTTGTACAGTGTCAGTCACTCTTTCTCATCTGTCATGTTGTACAGTGTCAGTCCACTCTTCTCATCTGTCATGTTGTACAGTGTCAGTCCACTCTTCTCATCTGTCATGTTGTACAGTGTCCAGTCCACTCTTCTCATCTGTCATGTTGTGCCAGTCCACAGTGTCAGTCCACTCTTCTCATCTGTCATGTCAGTGTTGTACTCTTCTCATCTGTGTCAGTCCACTCTTCTCATCTGTCATGTTGTACAGTACAGTGTCTCTTCCACTCTTTCTCATCTTCTCATGTTGTACAGTGCCAGTCCACTCTTCTCATCTGTCATGTTGTACAGTGTCAGTCCACTCTTCTCATCTGTCATGTTGTACAGTGTCATCTGTCCACTCTTCTCATCTGTCATGTTGTACAGTGTCAGTCCACTCTTCTCATCTGTCATGTTGTACAGTGTCAGTCAGTCCTCTTCTCATCTGTCATGTTGTACAGTGCCAGTCCACTCTTCTCATCTGTCATGTTGTACAGTGTCAGTCCACTCTTCTCATCTGTCATGTTGTACAGTGTCAGTCCACTCTTCTCATCTGTCATGTTGTACAGTGTCAGTCCACTCTTCTCATCTGTCATGTTGTACAGTGCCAGTCCACTCTTCTCATCTGTCATGTTGTACAGTGTCCAGTCCACCACTCTTCTCATCTGTCATGTTGTCAGTCCACTCTTCTACTGTCAGTGTACAGTGTCAGTCCACTCTTCTCATCTGTCATGTTGTACAGTGCCAGTCCACTCTTTCTCATCTGTCATGTTGTACAGTGCAGTCCACTCTTCTCATCTGTCATGTTGTACAGTGTCAGTCCACTCTTCTCATCTGTCATGTTGTACAGTGTCAGTCCACTCTTCTCATCTGTCATGTTGTACAGTGTCAGTCCACTCTTCTCATCTGTCATGTTGTAAGTGTCAGTCAGTCACTCTTCTCATCTGTCATGTTGTAGTGTCAGTCCACTCTTCTCATCTGTCATGTTCCACTCTGTCTGTCAGTGTAGTGTCACTCCACTCTTCTCATCTGTCATGTTGTACAGTGTCAGTCCACTCTTCTCATCTGTCATGTTGTACAGTGTCAGTCCACTCTTCTCATCTGTCATGTTGTAGTGTCAGTCCACTCTTCTCATCTGTCATGTTGTACAGTGTCAGTCCACTCTTCTCATCTGTCATGTTGTACAGTGTCAGTCCACTCTTCTCATCTGTCATGTTGTACAGTGTCAGTCCACTCTTCTCATCTGTCATGTTGTACAGTGTCAGTCCACTCTTCTCATCTGTCATGTTGTACAGTGTCAGTCCACTCTTCTCATCTGTCATGTTGTACAGTGTCAGTCCACTCTTCTCATCTGTCATGTTGTACAGTGTCAGTCCACTCTTCTCATCTGTCATGTGTGTCAGTCCAGTGTCAGTCCACTCTTCTCATCTGTCATGTTGTACAGTGTCAGTCCACTCTTCTCATCTGTCATGTTGTTCAGTGTCAGTCCACTCTTCTCATCTGTCATGTTGTACAGTGTCAGTCCACTCTTCTCATCTGTCATGTTGTTCAGTGTCAGTCCACTCTTCTCATCTGTCATGTTGTATAGTGTCAGTCCACTCTTCTCATCTGTCATGTTGTAGTGTCAGTCCACTCTTCTCATCTGTCATGTTGTTCAGTGTCAGTCCACTCTTCTCATCTGTCATGTTGTACAGTGTCAGTCCACTCTTCTCATCTGTCATGTTGTTCAGTGTCAGTCCACTCTTCTCATCTGTCATGTTGTATAGTGTCAGTCCACTCTTCTCATCTGTCATGTTGTAGTGTCAGTCCACTCTTCTCATCTGTCATGTTGTACAGTGCCAGTCCACTCTTCTCATCTGTCATGTTGTACAGTGCCAGTCCACTCTTCTCATCTGTCATGTTGTACAGTGTCAGTCCACTCTTCTCATCTGTCATGTTGTACAGTGTCAGTCCACTCTTCTCATCTGTCATGTTGTACAGTGTCAGTCCACTCTTCTCATCTGTCATGTTGTACAGTGCCAGTCCCCTTTTCTCATCTGTCATGTTGTACAGTGCCAGTCCACTCTTCTCATCTGTCGTGTTGTACAGTGTCAGTCCACTCTTCTCATCTGTCATGTTGTACAGTGTCAGTCCACTCTTCTCATCTGTCATGTTGTTCAGTGTCAGTCCACTCTTCTCATCTGTCATGTTGTACAGTGTCAGTCCACTCTTCTCATCTGTCATGTTGTACAGTGTCAGTCCACTCTTCTCATCTGTCATGTTGTACAGTGTCAGTCCACTCTTCTCATCTGTCATGTTGTACAGTGTCAGTCCACCACTCTTCTCATCTGTCAGTGTTGTACAGTGTCAGTCCACTCTTCTCATCTGTCATGTTGTTCAGTGTCAGTCCACTCTTCTCATCTGTCATGTTGTACAGTGTCAGTCCACTCTTCTCATCTGTCATGTTGTTCAGTGTCAGTCCACTCTTCTCATCTGTCATGTTGTTCAGTGTCAGTCCACTCTTCTCATCTGTCATGTTGTTCAGTGTCAGTCCACTCTTCTCATCTGTCATGTTGTACAGTGTCAGTCCACTCTTCTCATCTGTCATGTTGTACAGTGTCAGTCCACTCTTGTCATCTGTCATGTTGTACAGTGTCAGTCCACTCTTCTCATCTGTCATGTTGTACAGTGCCAGTCCACTCTTCTCATCTGTCATGTTGTAGTGTCAGTCCACTCTTCTCATCTGTCATGTTGTACAGTGTCAGTCCACTCTTCTCATCTGTCATGTTGTACAGTGTCAGTCCACTCTTCTCATCTGTCATGTTGTTCAGTGTCAGTCCACTCTTCTCATCTGTCATGTTGTACAGTGCCAGTCCCCTTTTCTCATCTGTCATGTTGTACAGTGTCAGTCCACTCTTCTCATCTGTCATGTTGTACAGTGTCAGTCCACTCTTCTCATCTGTCGTGTTGTACAGTGTCAGTCCACTCTTCTCATCTGTCATGTTGTTCAGTGTCAGTCCACTCTTCTCATCTGTCATGTTGTACAGTGTCAGTCCACTCTTCTCATCTGTCATGTTGTACAGTGTCAGTCCACTCTTCTCATCTGTCATGTTGTACAGTGTCAGTCCACTCTTCTCATCTGTCATGTTGTACAGTGCCAGTCCCCTTTTCTCATCTGTCATGTTGTACAGTGTCAGTCCACTCTTGTCATCTGTCATGTTGTTCAGTGTCAGTCCACTCTTCTCATCTGTCATGTTGTTCAGTGTCAGTCCACTCTTCTCATCTGTCATGTTGTTCAGTGTCAGTCCACTCTTCTCATCTGTCATGTTGTACAGTGTCAGTCCACTCTTCTCATCTGTCATGTTGTAGTGTCAGTCCACTCTTCTCATCTGTCATGTTGTTCAGTGTCAGTCCACTCTTCTCATCTGTCATGTTGTACAGTGCCAGTCCACTCTTCTCATCTGTCATGTTGTACAGTGCCAGTCCACTCTTCTCATCTGTCATGTTGTACAGTGTCAGTCCACTCTTCTCATCTGTCATGTTGTACAGTGTCAGTCCACTCTTCTCATCTGTCATGTTGTACAGTGTCAGTCCACTCTTCTCATCTGTCATGTTGTACAATGTCAGTCCACTCTTCTCATTTGTCGTGTTGTACAGTGTCAGTCCACTCTTCTCATCGGAGAACATTGAATTTTGTTGTAAACTTACAGAATAATGTTTCCACAGATGTTCTAAGTTAGTACAGTTGTGTTGTCTGCAGGTCTGAGTCGTGAAGGTTGGTCTATTACCAAAAACTTGTTGTCAGAGCTAGCCATTGTGTTTATTGGCTTCTTCACATTTGTTCCAGCGATACAGGTGAGTCCTAGCAGCACAGATATGTTCTCTCTTTCTCTTTCTTTTTTTTTTGGCTTTATGTCTATTTGCCTCTCTCCATCACTTCCTTTTTCTCTTCTTTTTCTATGTTTCTTTGTGTCTATTTACTAGGGCTGTACCGAATATTCGCTTCGTATTCGCTTCTGGGCCGAATAGTGGACCCAATAACTATTCGGTATTCGGCCGAATAGTTGCGGTCGGGCCGAATACGAATAGTGGTTACCTCACAACCGTTTCTGGACTGGTGGAAAAACAACATCGAGACTTCCCACCTTGGTTTATACTGTGAAGCGTTATCTTTGTGCACCACAATGATGATGATAGTGTTGTCGGCTTGATTTCTTTGAGTGGAGTGTCCTCTTCGTTGAAGTAACGGGAGTTTGTCATCATTTATGGGTGTCATATCTGTTCTTTATTGTCTTTGTTGTTTGATCTTCTGGCGTTGACCGCCTGACGTCTGGTTTCGTGAACTCGCGGGGGGCTGGGCGACTTGTCGTCAGCGTTATTTTTGTTTTTGATGTTTCGCCTTGCGGGTTTTCATTTTGACTTTCTGTATTTGTCGTATTTTCCTGTTTAGTACAGCTGGAAATACCTTCGGTGAGACAAAAAGCGGGCCTAATGCTGACAATATGGAACGAAGGTTTTTCATGGAGGTGTGTCACCACATAAACTAATACGTGCTGCAGGAGATCGCAGATTGTGGCGAAGCATAATCGCCCATGCCAGCCAGCAAAGCACATGATGATGATGATTCACTATTCGTATTCGTAATCGGCCGAATAGTTGGTCCAGCTATTCGTATTCGGCCGAATAGTGAAAATCACTATTCGGTACAGCCCTACTATTTACCTCTCTGTACACCTCCCTCCCATTCTCTTGCTCTGTTTTTTCTTCTTCTCTTTATTTGGTTCTCTCCTTCTGTCTGTTTGCCCCTCAATACTGTTGCTATGTGTCTCACTTCTTTCTGTCTACATCTCTCTCTATTTGCATCTCCCTCTCTACCTCTCCCTTCTCTCTCCCCCTGTCTTCCTCCCTCCATATCTCTATGCAAGTATGCATGTGTGTGTGTGTGTATATGTATGTGGATATATGGAAGTATATTTAGGTTTGTAAGTATGTGTGTGTATTTATGTATGTATGTTGTAAGTATGTGTGATAGTATATGAGTGTATGTGTGATTGTGGGTGTGTTATAATTTATGCAAGTATGTATGTATGCAGGTAGGCATGTGTGTATGTTATATCTGTATGGGTGATTGTAAATGTGTGTATGCATGCATGTGTGTGGGCATGTATGTATCTATGTGTGTATGTATGCATGTTGGTGGATGTATGTATGCATATTTAGCTGTGTAAGTATGTGTGTGTATTTAGGTATGTATGTATGTGTGTAAAGATGTGAGTGTATGTATAAATGTGTGTGTGTATGCATGTATGTATGTGTGTGTATGTATTCATGTGTGGTTGTGGGCATATGTTGGTGTCTGTACATGTGATTGTATATGTGTGTATGCATGGATGCATGTATAGGTGTGTATGTATGGAATGTGTGTGTGCATGTATATCCATAAATGTATGTGTGTGTGTTTTCTGTTTGTGCATTTATGTCTATGTATGTGTATGTGTTTTTATGTTTGTGTATGTATGTAGAGTCATGTGTGTATGTATTACATATGTCTGTATATGAGTGTGCATGTATGAGAACGTAGGAGTATGTAAACGTGTGTGTAAGTGTGTACAATTGTATACATATGTGTGTATCCATTATTCTATAATTTTTATTTCTTTATTATATCCATAACATGCATTATTGATAACAGGCATTGGTACTCTAAAAGATGTGTGCTTAGAAGGGCCGAATTTCAGACGGGCCTGCGTTCCCAATTTGTAACCCTTCCAAAATAAAGTTTGTTCGTTCGTTCGTTCTTTTCCTGTCATCTTTTCCTAGCTTCTATCATTCTGTTTCTTTCCCTTCTTCCCATTTCTCTAGCTGCATGTCCCTCTATCTCTATTTGCCTCCCTCTCTGTCTTTCGCTACATCTCTCCCACTCTCTCTCATCGTCTGTCTCCATCCCTTCCTCTCTATCTGTATGATGGTGTGCCTCTCTTTCCTTCAGGCACCAGGTCTAGAGCAGACAGAATCTCAGTTTGCTCCCTTTGTCCAAGTCTAGAAAAATTTTGAAAAAATTTTGTTGTACACATATATTGACACATGTACGCGCACATTAAGTACAGAATATGCCTAGTACATCCTTAAACAAGGCAAAAACACCTTGAAAATACCCTTGTAAACCCTTTAAATGTTGGGGAATTTGGATGCGAACCCTGTTATGTCTGTCACTCATGGAAATCTCTTGACCACAAAGTACCTTAAAAATGAGAAACATGAATACCCTAAGGCTTATACCAACCAGTGCATGTGTATGTGTGTGTGCGTGGGTACAGATACAGTGTTGAATTATCAACTGGTCACATACTAAACTAACCTGCCCATCACAGATACCAAGTTTCTGTGCGTCTTGTAAACCTTATTGCTTTCTAGGCATTGGAGGAGGGAATGAGAACTTTGCAACACCATCCCTATGGAGATGGTACTTCTGTACTTGGTCGGGAGGAAAGTCTCTACACCCGCCTGATTCTATTAAACACAAGCTCCATTTCAGGGCTCAGTTAACTTTGAAAACCAATATGTAGGACATAACAGTTCTGAAAAGTTTTGCAAAGGATTCACCAACTGACTGACTGAGATGACCCATTGTAGCATGTCTTGAAGGGAATTCACGAAATTGCTAGGGTTGAGATGACCCATTGTAGCATTTCTTTTATGGAATTCACCAAATTACTAGGGTTGAGATGACCCATTGTAGCATTTCTTGTATGGAATTCACCAAATTGCTAGGGTTGAGATGACCCATTATAGCATTTCTTGTATGGAATTCACCAAATTGCTAGGGTTGAGATGACCCATTGTAGCATTTATTGTAAGGAATTCACCAAATTACTAGGGATGAGATGACCCATTGTAGCATTTCTTGTATGGAATTCACCAACATACCAAGGTTGAGATGACCCATTGTAGCATTTCTTGTATGGAATTCACCAACATACCAAGGTTGAGATGACCCATTGTAGCATTTCTTGAACGGAATTCACCAAATTGCTAGGGTTGAGATGACCCATTGTAGCATTTCTTATATGGAATTCACCAAATTGCTAGGGTTGAGATGACCCATTGTAGCATTTCTTGTATGGAATTCACCAAATTGCTAGGGTTGAGATGACCCATTGTAGCATTTATTGTAAGGAATTCACCAAATTACTAGGGATGAGATGACCCATTGTAGCATTTCTTGTATGGAATTCACCAAATTACTAGGGATGAGATGACCCATTGTAGCATATCTTCGAGCCGCGTTAATGCAGATGATAAGAGGCTCGCTTTCATATCCAGCTGCGACTCTTTACAGCCAGGGTCGGTGATCGAAACCGGGCAGTTTCCGGGGTTCACCCAGCCTTTAGAAAATGGGTACCAGGGTGGACACTCTGGGGTGAATTTGTGACACAGGCGGTTAGTTTCTTACCAGCTGTCCGTACTGGTGGCAGAGCACTTATGAATTATAACCGTGTGCAATGACGCTGGTTGACATCTCTCGACTTTACCTTGACCTTTATATCTTCTAGAGAATTCACAAAATGACAAAATGGAGATGTCCTATTGTCTCTTGTCTTTGTTTTCATCAGGAGTTTTGTGCCTTTGCCCTGGTTGGAGTCCTCTCAGACTTCTACCTGCAGATTGCATTTTTCGCCACAGTCTTGTCCGTGGATATCCGTAGAATGGAGGTATGTATAAGTCTGACTTTTTTAATATTTTTTATTAGGCAACCATTTCTTTACATCTGAAGATATCTTTTGTACATGATAGTTTTGATTACTGCATGTGCACTATAATGAGTAATTGTCATTCCTCAGATTGTATACATGTTGTGGTCTGCAGCTAGGAACTACACTGAGATTGTATACATGTTGTGGTCTGCAGCTAGGAACTACACTGATATTGTATACATGTTGTGGTTTGCAGCTAGGAACTACACTGAGATTGTATACATGTTGTGGTTTGCAGCTAGGAACTACACTGAGATTGTATACATGTTGTGGTCTGCAGCTAGGAACTACACTGAGATTGTATACATGTTGTGGTTTGCAGCTAGGAACTACACTGAGATTGTATACATGTTGTGGTTTGCAGCTAGGAACTACACTGAGATTGTATACATGTTGTGGTCTGCAGCTAGGAACTGCACTAAGATTGTATGCATGTTGTTGTGTCCAGCTAGGAACTGCACTAAGATTGTATACATGTTGTGGTTTGCAGCTAGGAACTACACTGAGATTGTATACATGTTGTGGTTTGCAGCTAGGAACTACACTGAGATTGTATACATGTTGTGGTTTGCAGCTAGGAACTACACTGAGATTGTATACATGTTGTGGTTTGCAGCTAGGAACTACACTGAGATTGTATACATGTTGTGGTCTGCAGCTAGGAACTACACTGAGATTGTATACATGTTGTGGTTTGCAGCTAGGAACTACACTGAGATTGTATACATGTTGTGGTCTGCAGCTAGGAACTGCACTATGATTGTATGCATGTTGTTGTGTCCAGCTAGGAACTGCACTATGATTGTATGCATGTTGTGGTTTGCAGCTAGGAACTACACTGAGATTGTATACATGTTGTGGTCTGCAGCTAGGAACTACACTGAGATTGTATACATGTTGTGGTCTGCAGCTAGGAACTACAATGAGATTGTATACATATTGTGGTTTGCAGCTAGGAACTACAATGAGATTGTATACATATTGTGGTTTGCAGCTAGGAACTACACTGAGATTGTATACATGTTGTGGTTTGCAGCTAGGAACTACACTGAGATTGAATACATGTTGTGGTTTGCAGCTAGGAACTACACTGAGATTGAATACATGTTGTGGTTTGCAGCTAGGAACTACACTGAGATTGTATACATGTTGTGGTTTGCAGCTAGGAACTACACTGAGATTGTATACATGTTGTGTTTTGCAGCTAGGAACTACACTGAGATTGTATACATGTTGTGGTTTGCAGCTAGGAACTACAATGAGATTGTATAAATGTTGTGGTCTGCAGCTAGGAACTACACTGAGATTGTATACATGTTGTGGTTTGCAGCTAGGAACTACACTGAGATTGTATACAGGTTGTGGTTTGCAGCTAGGAACTACACTGAGATTGTATACATGTTGTGGTATGCAGCTAGGAACTACACTGAGATTGTATACATGTTGTGGTCTGCAGCTAGGAACTACACTGAGATTGTATACATGTTGTGGTCTGCAGCTAGGAACCACACTGAGATTGTATACATGTTGTGTTTTGCAGCTAGGAACTACACTGAGATTGTATACATGTTGTGTTTTGCAGCTAGGAACTACACTGAGATTGTATACATGTTGTATTTTGCAGCTAGGAACTACACTGAGATTGTATACATGTTGTGGTCTCCAGCTAGGAACTACACTGAGATTGTATACATGTTGTGGTGTGCAGCTAGGAACTACACTGAGATTGTATACATGTTGTGGTTTGCAGCTAGGAACTACACTGAGATTGTATACATGTTGTGGTTTGCAGCTAGGAACTACACTGATATTGTATACATGTTGTTGTTTGCAGCTAGGAACTACACTGAGATTGTATACATGTTGTGGTTTGCAGCTAGGAACTACACTGAGATTGTATACATGTTGTGGTCTGCAGCTAGGAACTACACTGAGATTGTATACATGTTGTGGTCTGCAGTTAGGAACTACACTTAGATTGTAAACATGTTGTGTTTTGCAGCTAGGAACTACACTGAGATTGTATACATGTTGTGTTTTGCAGCTAGGAACTACACTGAGATTGTATACATGTTGTGGTTTGCAGCTAGGAACTACACTGAGATTATATACATGTTGTGGTGTGCAGCTAGGAACTACACTGAGAATGTATACATGTTGTGGTTTGCAGCTAGAAACTACACTGAGATTGTATACATGTTGTGGTCTGCAGCTTGGAACTACGCCTAAGATTGTATACATGTTGTGGTTTGCAGCTAGGAACTACACTGAGATTGTATACATGTTGTGGTCTCCAGCTAGAAACTACACTGAGATTGTATACATGTTGTGGTCTGCAGCTTGGAACTACGCCTAAGATTGTATACATGTTGTGGTTTGCAGCTAGGAACTACACTGAGATTGTATACATGCTGTGGTCTGCAGCTAGGAACTACACTGAGATTGTATACATGTTGTGGTCTGCAGCTAGGAACTACACTGAGATTGTATACATGTTGTGGTTTGCAGCTAGGAACTACACTGAGATTGTATACATGTTGTGGTATGCAGCTAGGAACTACACTGAGATTATATACATGTTGTGGTCTTTAGCCAGTGACTGAGACATGAGAAGCTTCAAACTCTCACTGTGGTGACATTGTTCCCTTGCAGCTGTCAGATCTACACCGCCAGAGTGTCCAGCAAGCAGTACAGGATGACCTGTCCAGTACCTCCATCAACATCCAGCCTCTCATTCTCTGCCCTGTTGCCCAGCAAAGCTCCACAACTCCAGCCTCAACGCGCTCATCGTCTCCACATGCTGATGCTGGCCCATCATCTCATGTAGCCACCCCAGGCCAGACAGAGCGACGCTCCTGCACCCCTTCGCCGGGTAGGACCAGTTTTTCCCGCCACAGTCAGCAGACGGAGAGGCCACGTTATGAAATGCCACGTCGTGTGAAGTTCTTCTACTTCCTTGCCAGGTTCCGTATAGTTCAAAAGTTGATTATGGTGAGTCCACAAATGATTTTGTTGTAGCCAGCATCACTGAGGGCTTTGTGGGTTAGCAAGCATAGAGATGCATGGTAATCAGCGGTAGTTTTCTAGAAATACACAGAAGAAATTTATTACCCCCACAGAACACTCTGGTTGAGTGAACTGTTTAAAAACAAAGACTCTGATTGTTTCAACTGTTGCCACAGCACACACTGGTTGAGTTAACTGTCCCCAAACATAAACAATGACTTTTTCAATTGTTGCCACACCACACATTGGTTCAAGTCTTCACAACACACTTTGAGTTAACTGCCCCCAAAATCTGGTTGAGTTAACTGTTTCCAAACATAGACACTGACTGTTTCAACTGTTGCCACAGCACACATTGGTTCAAGTCTTCACAACACACGTTGAGTTAACTGTCCCCACAGTCTGGTTGAGTTAACTGTTTCCAAACATAAACACTAACTTTTGCCACCATACACATTGGCTCAATCTTCACAACACACTCTAGTTGAGTTATCTGTTCCCAAACATGCATATATTATACTTGCGATTGTGATTCAGTCTCGTAAATGACTTGTCCGCAAGAGTCCTAGTTAGCAGCGCATGGTTCCGTTTGCGCTCTTGTAGTGTTTTGGAGGCCAGGATCTGAATACATTTACTAAAAATAGCATGTATGGTTTTGTGTGTGGAACAGAGTGGTCTTGTAAAGCCATTGTGAAGTCTTAGTTGTAGCATCCCACCTGAGGTCATGGTAGGGGTCACATTTTGTTAGGCTGGCTGGAATGTATTCCATTTAATGCTTCACTCTTTTCCTACTCCCTTAACCCTTTCACTGCTATGGGCATAATTACACGTTTACCCATAGACTGCTAGAGATGTATTTGTGCATCTTCTATTTGCTGTGCTCCCACTGCTATGAACATAAAAACATGATGTCAACTTTTCCCTACAAACTGCTGCTAAAAACCATAATTCTTGGGGATGTAAAGGCAGTACACATTACCCAGAGTCAGACCCAAATGATCCATTTACATCTGATGAAAACCCCTATCATGTGTGTCGAGATGCTTTCTGTGTGCTCCTGTTGCTTTGTTTGCCACAGAAGCCTGGTCTGTGAACTGTATACTTTTTGCCATAAAATGTATTTCTGATTTTGCACTGGTCTACATTTTTTTAGAGTGCAAAATTGCAAGAAAACTGGTTAATTAAAGTTGATGAAGAATAAATCGATTTCTATCAAGGAGTGATAGTCACAGATCAACAAGAGCATATGGTCACATACTGACATGATGATTAAAAGTAATTTTCTTTTATAGAACAGACAATGCTGGTCTTACTTTTAACTGTTATTATCATATCCAGTTTTAGTGTAGTAAATATTACATCTACATTGTAAGTGAAAGGTTCTGTGTTCAACCCCTCCATTACATTTTGCTTTTCAAATATTTTTTTAAAGTGTAAATATTCTGTTTTAGTTCTTAGCACTGGTATTGTTCATCTTGATCATGTTATTGTTGAGCTGGTTTGCCTTGTAGAGATGACTGTGTTCACATGTTGCCATATCTCAGGTGTGTACTGTCATCTTGATCATGTTATTGTTCAGCTGGTTTGCCTTGTAGAGATGACTGTGTTCACATGTTGCCATATCTCAGGTGTGTACTGTCTTCTTCATCATGTTATTGTTGAGCTGGTTTGCCTTGTAGAGATGACAGTGTTCACATGTTGCCATATCTCAGGTGTGTACTGTCATCTTGATCATGTTATTGTTGAGCTGGTTTGCCTTGTAGAGATGACTGTGTTCACATGTTGCCATATCTCAGGTGTGTACTGTCATCTTGATCATGTTATTGTTGAGCTGGTTTGCCTTGTAGAGATGACTGTGTTCACATGTTGCCATATCTCAGGTGTGTACTGTCATCTTGATCATGTTATTGTTGAGCTGGTTTGCCTTGTAGAGATGACTGTGTTCACATGTTGCCATATCTCAGGTGTGTACTGTCTTCTTCATCATGTTATTGTTCAGCTGGTTTGCCTTGTAGAGATGACAGTGTTCACATGTTGCCATATCTCAGGTGTGTACTGTCATCTTGATCATGTTATTGTTCAGCTGGTTTGCCTTGTAGAGATGACTGTGTTCACATGTTGCCATATCTCAGGTGTGTACTGTCTTCTTCATCATGTTATTGTTCAGCTGGTTTGCCTTGTAGAGATGACAGTGTTCACATGTTGCCATATCTCAGGTGTGTACTGTCATCTGGATCATGCTGATATTGTACAAGGCCGGACTAGTAGACAGACTGACTGGAGAAGAACATAGTCGTGGAACACCTCGACCATCCTTTCCCAGACAGCCTGGGTTCGAGTCGGCTCCAGATATGACCAGGTAGGTACAACCAGGGTAGATTTACTGTGTATCACCATGAGTATCATCACAGCTGAGTGTGCGTATTGTGTGGATACTGTCTGTCTGGACTCATGGAAGTCCACACTGTGATTGGTGCACTGCTGAACGAAGCATCTTTTGGGCCTTGGTGCGTGGTCTCTGCTACACAGTTTGTGATGGGTGTCGTGGTTGTTTTATCTGCAGCCAGTTCTAGTGTCTACGTTTAGGTCACCCCTATAACCACATTATGATCAGCACATACATGAGGAGAGGGCTAAAGCCATAGTGCTTCTTGTTTTCTGACAAATGATTGGAGTTTCAAATTGATGTCCAGACATTGTGTGTTCTAACTTCTGCCGAGAAAATCATTGGACTCCATAACTGCCTGGAGCAGTCAGCTCAATGACACACAGTCAGTGGACCTTGTAATTGCCTGGAGCAGTCAGCTCAATGACATCCAATCTGTGGACCCTGTAATTGCCTGGAGCAGTCAGCTCAGTGACATCCAATCTGTGGACCCTGTAATTGCCTGGATCAGTCAGTTCAATGACACACAATCAGTGGACCCTGTAATTGCCTGGAGCAGTCAGTTCAATGACACACAATCAGTGGACCCTGTAATTGCCTGGAGCAGTCAGCTCAATGACACACAATCTGTGGACCCTGTAATTGCCTGGAGCAGTCAGTTCAATGACACACAATCAGTGGACCCTGTAATTGCCTGGAGCAGTCAATTCAATGACACACAATCAGTGGACCCTGTAATTGCCTGGAGCAGTCAGTTCAATGACACACAATCAGTGGACCCTGTAATTGCCTGGAGCAGTCAGCTCAATGACATCCAATCTGTGGACCCTGTAATTGCCTGGAGTAGTCAGCTCTATGACACACAGTCAGTGGACCCTGTAATTGCCTGGAGCAGTCAGCTCAATGACACACAGTCAGTGGACCCTGTAATTGCCTGGAGCAGTCAGCTCAATGACACACAATCAGTGGACCCTGTAATTGCCTGGATCAGTCAGTTCAATGACACACAATCAGTGGACCCTGTAATTGCCTGGAGCAGTCAGCTCAATGACACACAGTCAGTGGACCCTGTAATTGCCTGGATCTGTCAGCTCAATGACACACAATCAGTGGACCCTGTAATTGCCTGGATCAGTCAGCTCAATGACACACAATCAGTGGACCCTGTAATTGCCTGGATCAGTCAGCTCAATGACTGGTGCAGTCACTTAGCCCTCATGATGCCAATAATTAGTGATGATTTAAACAGATTCTGAGTGTCATGGTGACTGAATGCATTACTAATGAGTTGTCTGTTTATTGTTGTCTCTTGGGTGATCAGCAGACAGGCAGAAGGTGACCTCAGTTTGGCAGATGCAGGGCGCCTGGAGGAGGAGCAGAAACTAGCGTTGGTCAAGCACACAGATTTGGAGTTGTGGAGACAGTTGTCACATAAACACTGGCCAATCTTCTTTCATAGTTATAACATCAGCCTATCTGGCAGGTCGGTTTACTTGATGTTTACTTTTGGAACTGAACATGTGTCTCTAAACATCTTCTCAAATATGATACAATAGCAAACCTCCCACACACACACACACATTATGTTCAAGATGTATATGTGTATAAACATGCACGCATACACACATACACACATTCTGTTCAAGATGCATATGTGTATAAACATGCATACACACACACACACACGAGTTAGCCCAAAAAATTTATATATATGTAGGATATTTGCAGTCTTTGAATTCATTTTGGTAGCAGTATGTTGAATGAAGTTTTCAAAATAACAACCTGTATCAACATTTTGATGCTGGTATAGTACGCTCCTACCACTAAACGTCGGGCCGTTACTCAGGTTCCAACTCCCACACCCTGTGAAAATGTATTTGCTACAGAAAATGCAGAGAATCACTGAAATGGGACAAGGTTGGGTTTAGGAAATCAGGGCATCCATGACAAACCTCAAGAGTGAAGGCTGTTGTGCTGACTGCTCCGTGGAGTTTCTGCTACGGCAGCAGTGGAGACCAAGATGAGAATTAAAGCTTTCTTTCAGGTGAATTCGGGCAATTAAACCTCACAGTGTTTGAGCTATTAAACTAAAAACACTTATTAACTGCTGCCTGTGCGGAAAGGAAGGAATTAAATTGTTTGACATAAATCATTAGTGTGCAGCTGAAAGAGAGAACCAAACAACTCCAGTGAATCAAAAGGTGAAACACACAAAACACTGACTTTGGATATGACACATTAAGAAAACTTGGTAACAATATAAATAGCATTTCCTTTAAATGAAACCCGCTGGGTCAAAGGAATAAAAGTAGATTAAAATACTTTTGCAAAAGAAAAAAAGAAGGGTGAGGTGAAACAAAATGAGGAATAATGAACAAACAAACTGAGTTGAGTTGAGTCAAGAATTGACATCACCGCACTGGGGGCATTTCCATGCATACTCCATCCACATCTTCAGCAGCCAGCCCAGAGTTCTAATACTGATGGTACCGGTCACAATCTGGTTATATGTCCGTCTTGCTTTTCTTCTGAGTTTAGTAAGCTGGCCTGATTCGCTGGTTATACCTAGATGCCTCATTTCCAGGCCATCATAATCTTGTTTCTCTGCTGATTCCGTTGCTTGCTCCCAAAGCACCTTGACCACATCTGCCTTGTCATGCATAAGTTCACCACCCAGTGGTGCAGGTGCAACCAATCTGTCTGCCTGTTCATTACCCACCACGCCACCATGGCCTGGAGAAAAGATCCAAAGTATGCTCACTACCTGTGACCTTCCCAGTGAAGCTTGATTCTCTGCTCAAAGCATCCCTGTCTTCGCCTTTCTCAGCATGCTTTCAGAGTCTGTTACAATTCTTGTTTTCTAGCCACCGGATAAAGATTTTCCATTGGCTGTCACTATGAACCCCCAGGCACTTCTCTTTCCTCTCAACACCGAACCATCTGAATAGATAATCAGATCACCTGGGCGTGAATTGTCATGAATCAACTGTTGGACTTCCACCTCCTTAGCACCGCTGGCCACTCTTTCACTCCTGGCCAAATGTGATCATAACCCTACACAGGTCAGACGTTTCCTCTGGTACTTTGACCCACTCCTCTCCTCACGCAATGTTCTCCAGCATGCATACTTGTCTTATTGTGTCTTCTGCTTGAGCCATCCACGATTTTACCCTTTTCAATCTCTGATCTTTACCTGCAGCCAAAGCTTCATACAGCAGGTGTTCTTTGTCTGCAGCTACTCTTAGCCTGCAGTAATTTTAGCCTATCTGCAATAGTTGGCAATGCAAGGATGCATTGCATGCACACAATCAGAGTGTCTCTTGTACATACTAGGATCACCCGCATAGCTTCATTCTGTATGCGCTACAGTTTCTCTAGCTGACTCTTCGAGACAGTGAGTAACCCCGATCCATAATCAATCACTGAGATGTTTAAGTGCTGGTAAAGTGTGAACAGCATTCTCTGCTCCATGTCCGTCGCTGCCGTAATCTTTAGTTCATTAAGACCTTTTTGAGCGGTTGTCAAAACCCTCCTCTATGTAATCCTTGAAAGGCCAACTTCTGTCAAAGGTGATTCCTAGGTACTGCAGTCTGCTGTCTCTTTTGATGTCCCTACCATTAATTTTGAGTCTAGGAACATCAGCTCTAACAATTGTGTTATCCAAAGAACATCACAGGACAGTGGCCTTTTCTGGGTTGATTCCAGCACTCATCTCTGTACACCAGTCGATCACCTTATCACATGTAACTTCAGCTATTTGATTCCGTTCTCTTCCCCTTCCTATATACAAAAACATGATCTGCAAATGTCAATATTCTGCCAACTCCAGGTGTTTCCTGGTATGCAGTCTTGCTCGTAAAAAACATTGAACAGCACAGGTGAAATTGCAGATTCCTGTGGTAGTCCTAGAGCTAAAATACATGGTTGAGAGGTCCATGAACCCAGGCAGAGAGCCTGAGAGAGAGAGGGCGTATCAGGAAGGGAATGAGAGTAAAGGAAGAAATGATTGCAGAAAGGCTAAGAGCTAAGCATCTGAAAAGAAACGGATTAAATACAAATGTTAACAGAGGTCCTGAAATCTCATCATTGTGGAAGACTTCTTAACACAGGCAGGTCTTGCTAGTCACACTCGTCATCGCTATGGGCTGTCTCATACCTCCTCATAGTGCAATATAACACTATCGTCTGGAAAGACAGAAAGATGCCAATCTACAGTCTATAAAATCAGGCCCAGGTGTAGTGTCTTTATTTCCAAAGGCTTACAAATTGAGCGTGCAGGCCCATCTTACATTGAACCAACTCTTTGTGGCCTACACAGCAACCATGTGATCTCACTGTTAGTGTGGCAACTCTTTGTGGCCTACACAGCAACCATGTGATCTCACTGTTAGTGTGGCAACTCTTTGTGGCCTACACAGCAACCATGTGATCTCACTGTTGTTATGGCAACTCTTTGTGGCCTACACAGCAACCATGTGATCTCACTGTTAGTGTGGCAACTCTTTGTGGCTGCTAAGGGAGGCAACTGAGCGTCAGCAGATATATCCAGAGTGCAGTGATGTCAGCTCTTTATTGCGGATCATTTGTTTCATGATTGTCTGCTGTCCTCTCCTCTCCATCTGTCCCTCTGCTCACACCTCAGTAACATATTACAGTGGCTTTTTTGTCTCTACTACTGTCTGCCCAGACATTTTGTCTCTACTACTGTCTGCCCAGACATTTTGTCTCTACTACTGTCTGCCCAGACATTTTGTCTCTACTACTGTCTGCCCAGACATTTTGTCTCTACTGCTGTCTGCCCAGACATTTTGTCTCTACTACTGTCTGCCCAGACATTTTGTCTCTACTACTGTCTGCCCAGACATTTTGTCTCTACTACTGTCTGCCCAGACACTAGTGTCATTTTTATTTACAAACCCACACACACATACAAACCCGTACATACACACAATACACACAACACACACACATACATGTTGCTGACTGTCATACACTCACAGGTACATTAGCATCCTGCCAAGCATTCACCTGTCGGAGCTCATAGACCCACAGACACCCAGACATACATGTTGCTGACTATCATACACTCACAGGTACATTAGCATCCTGCCAAGCATTCACCTGTCGGAGCTCATAGACCCACAGACACCCAGACATACATGTTGCTGACTATCATACACTCACAGGTACATAGCATCCTGCCAAGCATTCACCTGTCGGAGCTCATAGACCCACAGACACCCAGACATACATGTTGCTGACTATCATACACTCACAGGTACATTAGCATTCTGCCAAGCATTCACCTGTCGGAGCTCATAGACCCACAGACACCCAGACATACATGTTGCTGACTGTCATACACTCACAGGTACATAGCATCCTGTCAAGCATACACCTGTTGGAGCTCATAGACCCACAGACACCCAGACATACATGTTGCTGATACACTCACAGGTACATTAGCATCCTGCCAAGCATACACCTGTCGGAGCTCATAGACCCACAGACAGCCATCAGTCTCAGGCCTCCATCTGAGGAGATGCCTCCAGTGCTGTTTACACCTTACAACCCATACCCTGAGGATGCAGACGCAGGTAAGTTGTTCACACAGGACTCACTTACATAGGACTCACTTACACAGGGCTCACTTACACAGGGCTCACTTACACAGGGCTCACTTACACAGGACTCACTTACACAGGGCTCACTTACACAGGGCTCACACAGGACTCACTTACATAGGACTCACTTACACAGGGCTCACTTACATAGGACTCACTTACACAGGGCTCACTTACATAGGACTCACTTACACAGGACTCACTTACATAGGACTCACTTACACAGGGCTCACTTACACAGGGCTCACTTACACAGGGCTCACTTACACAGGGCTCACTTACACAGGGCTCACTTACACAGGGCTCACTTACACAGGGCTCACTTACACAGGGCTCACTTACACAGGACTCACTTACACAGGGCTCACTTACACAGGACTCACTTACACAGGGCTCACTTACACAGGGCTCACTCACACAGGACTCACTCACACAGGGCTCACACAGGACTCACTTACATAGGACTCACTTACACAGGACTCACTTACACAGGGCTCACTCACACAGGGCTCACTCACACAGGACTCAGTGTTTTGTTCCATGGAGGTCCTTACTGTGATTTATATCTGTACCCATGTTTTGTTTCATGGAGGTCCACACTGTGATTAATATCTGTACCCATGTTTTGTTTCATGGAGGTCCTTACTGTGATTTATATCTGTACCCATGTTTTGTTTCATGGAGGTCCACACTGTGATTTATATCTGTACCCATGTTTTGTTTCATGGAGGTCCTTACTGTGATTTATATCTGTACCCATGTTTTGTTTCATGGAGGTCCACACTGTGATTTATATATGTACCCATGTTTTGTTTCATGGAGGTCCTTACTGTGATTTATATCTGTACTAGTGTTTTGTTTCATGGAGGTCCTTACTGTGATTTATATCTGTACCAGTGTTTTGTTTCATGGAGGTCCTTACTGTGATTTATATCTGTACCTATGTTTTGTTTCATGGAGGTCCTTACTGTGATTTATATCTGTACCCATGTTTTGTTACATGGAGGTCCTTACTGTGATTTATATATGTACCCATGTTTTGTTTCATGGAGGTCCTTACTGTGATTTATATCTGTACCCATGTTTTGTTTCATGGAGGTCCTTACTGTGATTTATATCTGTACTAGTGTTTTGTTTCATGGAGGTCCTTACTGTGATTTATATCTGTACCCATGTTTTGTTTCATTGAGGTCCTTACTGTGATTTATATCTGTACCCATGTTTTGTTTCATTGAGGTCCTTACTGTGATTTATATCTGTACCCATGTTTTGTTTCATGGAGGTCCTTACTGTGATTTATATCTGAACTAGTGTTTTGTTTCACGGATGTCCTTACTGTAATTTAAATCTGTACTAGTGTTTTGTTTCATGGAGGTCCTTATTGTGATTTATATCTGTACCCATGTTTTGTTTCATGGAGGTCCACACTGTGATTTATATCTGTACTAGTGTTTTGTTACATGGAGATCCTTACTGTGATTTATATCTGTACTAGTGTTTTGTTTCATGGAGGTCCATACTGTGATTTATATCTGTACTAGTGTTTTGTTACATGGAGATCCTTACTGTGGTTTATACCTGTACTAGTGTTTTGTTACATGGAGATCCTTACTGTGATTTATATCTGTACCCATGTTTTGTTACATGGAGGTGCTTACTGTGATTTATATCTGTACCCATGTTTTGTTTCATGGAGGTCCTTACTGTGATTTATATCTGTACCCATGTTTTGTTACTTTCAGGTCCTTACTGTGATTTATATCTGTACCCATGTTTTGTTTCATGGAGGTCCTTACTGTGATTTATATCTGTACCCATGTTTTGTTTCATGGTGGTCCTTACTGTGATTTATATCTGTACCCATGTTTTGTTTCATGGAGGTCCTTACTGTGATTTATATCTGTACCCATGTTTTGTTTCATGGAGGTCCTTACTGTGGTTTATATCTGTACCCATGTTTTGTTTCATGGAGGTCCTTACTGTGATTTATATCTGTACCCATGTTTTTTTTACATGGAGGTCCTTACTGTGATTTATATCTGTACCCGTGTTTTGTTTCATGGAGGTCCTTACTGTGATTTATATCTGTACCCGTGTTTTGTTTCATGGAGGTCCTTACTGTGATTTATATCTGTACCCATGTTTTGTTTCATGGAGGTCCTTACTGTGATTTATATCTGTACCCATGTTTTGTTTCATGGAGGTCCACACTGTGATTTATATCTGTACCCATGTTTTGTTTCATGGAGGTGCTTACTGTGATTTATATCTGTACCCATGTTTTGTTTCATGGAGGTCCTTACTGTGATTTATATCTGTACCCATGTTTTGTTTCATGGAGGTCCACACTGTGATTTATATCTGTACCTATGTTTTGTTTTATGGAGGTCCACACTGTGATTTATATCTGTACCCATGTTTTGTTACATTCAGGTCCTTACTGTGATTTATATCTGTACCCATGTTTTGTTTCATGGAGGTCCACAGTGTGATTTATATCTGTACCCATGTTTTGTTACATTCAGGTCCTTACTGTGATTTATATCTGTACCTATGTTTTGTTTCATGGAGGTCCACACTGTGATTTATATCTGTACCCATGTTTTGTTTCATGGAGGTCCACACTGTGATTAATATCTGTACCCATGTTTTGTTTCATGGAGGTCCACACTGTGATTTATATCTGTACCTATGTTTTGTTTCATGGAGGTCCTTACTGTGATTTATATCTGTACCCATGTTTTGTTTCATGGAGGTCCACACTGATTTATATATGTACCCAGGTTTTGTTTCATGGAGGTCAACACTTTGATTGGTGCCATGCTGAGTATATGTATTGTGTAACTGCTGCTCATGATTAAAGTTGGTTGAAGTAATCAGGCACTTGATATCCTGCAGGTGAGAATGACTCTCAGGACGTGGCTCATGTGAACAGCGGCCCCCAGTTTGAGAACTTCTACCCCAGATCCCAGAAGGAGTACATGATAACAGTTGTGCTGTGTTTTCTCTCTGTCATTGTGCTGACCTACTTTATGTATGTGCTGTATCGGTGCATGTGTTCGCGCAACTACTCCCGCTGGCGCCATTCCTGGCACAGGTCCTCCCGCAGGCGATCCAAGCCTTACTCTAGGCAGATCAAAGAGTCGATGCCCCTGGTTCTCTCAGGACACACACAGGTAATGTCCCCTGTTGTTTGTGCGGTCACATTTACTTACTTGTTAAATGTCCCCTGTGGTTAGTGCAGTCACATAAGTTACTAGTTAAATGTCCCTGTTGCTATTGCAGTCACATAAGTTACTTATTAAATGTCCCTGTTGTTAGTACAGTCACTCTTTTGCTAGTGCAGTCACATGAGCTACTTGTTAAATGTCCCTGTTGTTATTGCAGTCACATGAGCTACTTGTTAAATGTCCCTGTTGTTAGCGCAGTCACAAAATTTATTTGGTAAATGACCCTGTTGCTATGCAGTCACATAAGTTACTTATTAAATGTCCCTGTTGTTAGCGCAGTCACATAAGCTACTTGTTAAATGTCCCTGTTGTTATTGCAGTCACATAAGTTACTTGTTAAATGTCCCTGTTGTTAGTGCAGTCACTCTTTTGCTAGTGCAGTCACATAAGTTACTTGTTAAATGTCCCTGTTGTTATTGCAGTCACATAAGTTACTTGGTAAATATTCCTCTTGTTAGTGCAGTCACAAATGTTACTTGTTCTACAGATGGTGTTGGTTCCTACAGAATTATTGCAGTCACATAAGTTCCTACAGAATTATATGCAGTCACATAAGTTACTTTTTAAATGTCCATGTTGTTAGTGCAGTCACTCTTTTGCTAGTGCAGTCACATAAGTTACTTGTTAAATGTCCCTGTTGTTAGTGCAGTCACAAATGTTGCTTGTTCTACAGATGGTGTTGGTTCCTACAGAATTATTGACTCTGTCCAACAGCTTATATTGGTTCATACAGAATTATTGACTCTGTCCAACAGCTTATGTTGGTTCTTACAGAATTTTTGACTCTATCCAACAGCATGTTGTTTTGTACAGAATTATTGACTCTGTCCAACAGCTTATGTTTATTTGTACATAATTATTGACTCTATCCAACAGCAAATGTTGGTTCCTACAGAATTATTGATTTTATCCAACAGCATATGTTGGTTCCTACAGAATTATTGACTTTATCCAACTGTATATTTATGTTCCTGCAGAGTTATTGACTATCCAACAGCTTATGTTGGGTTCATACAGAAATATTGACTTTATCTAACAGCGTATGTTGGTTCCTATAGAATTATTAACTCTATCCAACAGCATATTTTGGTTCCAACAGAGTTATTGACTCCTTTCAACAGCTTATGTTGGTTCCTACAGAAATATTGACTTCTAACCTGTATTAATTTGTTATTGGTTCCTTGCCTGTCATTGAGGTTCACTACACATGCCAGGCTGTTTGATATCCATGGTCTGATCACATTGTCTGGAACTGTCTTGTGTCCACAGATATCCATGGTCTGATCACATTGTCTGGAACTGTCTTGTGTCCACAGATATCCATGGTCTGATCACATTGTCTGGAACTGTCTTGTGTCCACATATATCCATGGTCTGATCACATTGTCTGTAACTGTCTTGTGTCCACAGATATCCATGGTCTGATCACATTGTCTGGTACTGTCTTGTGTCCACTGATATCCATGGTCTGATCACATTGTCTGGAACTGTCTTGTGTCCACAGATATCCATGGTCTGATCACATTGTCTGGAACTGTCTTGTGTCCACAGATATCCATGGTCTGATCACATTGTCTGGAACTGTCTTGTGTCCACATATATCCATGGTCTGATCACATTGTCTGTAACTGTCTTGTGTCCACAGATATCCATGGTCTGATCACATTGTCTGGTACTGTCTTGTGTCCACTGATATCCATGGTCTGATCACATTGTCTGGAACTGTCTTGTGTCCACAGATATCCATGGTCTGATCACATTGTCTGGAACTGTCTTGTGTCCACAGATATCCATGGTCTGATCACATTGTCTGGAACTGTCTTGTGTCCACAGATATCCATGGTCTGATCACATTGTCTGGTACTGTCTTGTGTCCACTGATATCCATGGTCTGATCACATTGTCTGGAACTGTCTTGTGTCCACTGATATCCATGGTCTGATCACATAGTCTGGTACTGTCTTGTGTCCACTGATCACATTGTCTAGAACTGACCTGTGTCCACTGATCACATTGTCTAGAACTGACCTGTGTCCACAGAATATTGAGTGTTTGCTCGGGGACAACGGACTGGTCATCAGTTGTTGTCTGGGTGGTCATCTCAAAGTCTGGAACTCTCATTCTGGGGAATGCATCAACACAATCATGAGAAACAGGTTAGAACACACCTAGTTATACATTTATCTGCATAGATGAACCATTGTATTGTGTACATTGATTATTTTGCTTGCACTCGTCAAACAATGTTGTGTGGAATAACTTCACCTGTAGAGGTGGGATGTTATAACTTCATCTTTGTCTCAAAGTTCATGCCATGTGGCATTGGTAGTCATCTCTATCCACAACCTTTTGTCTCCTGTACTTTTGATCAACTGATACAGATAGATGATTCTCTATGCCATGATGTCACACTGTCCAACTCTCTGTCTCCCCCTGCCTCACTGTCAGATGTACTCCAGTTTTCTCCTTCTCATCCCATGACTGAAGAATCAAGATGTAGACAACTTCATACAGATGTGATAATTCTCCTTGTTATATAACTTTATCTGTATGGGTGGAATGGTTGTTTCATAACTTTTTTTTTAGGTGAGGTTATGTTATGTATCTTGACCTGTTCAGAGGAGATAATTTCACTTTGTTGTGTGTGATTAGTTAGTAAGGACTGTCATCACAACATTTATTGCAGACAGATCCATCAGTCATGTTGTTGTGTGTGATCAGTAAAGACTGTCATTACAGCACTCACTGCTGACAGATCCATCAGTCATGTTGTTGTATATTTTAACTGTTCAGGGTAGAAAAATTGATGATTAAATAAATAGGAAATTTTTTTTTTTTTTAAATCAGTGTGAAAGTATTGATGGATTTGTGAGAAACTGTTGATGGATTTGTGAGAAACTGTTGATGGATTTATGAGAAACTGTTGATGGATTTGTGAGAAACTGTTAATGGATTTGTGTGAAACTGTTGATGGATTTGTGTGAAACTGTTGATGGATTTGTGTGAAACTGTTGATAGATTTATTTGAAACTGTTGATGGATTTGTGTGAAACTGTTGATGGATTTGTGAGAAACTTTTGATGAATTTGTGTGAAACTGTTAATAGATTTATGAGAAACTGTTGATGGATTTATTTGAAACTGTTGATGGATTTGTGAGAAACTCTTGATGGATTTGTGTGAAACTGTTGATGGTTTTGTGAGAAACTGTTGATGGATTTAAGAGAAACTGTTGATGGATTTCTGTAAACTGTTGATGGATTTATGAGAAACTGTTGATGGATTTGTTTGAAACTGTTGATGAATTGGTGAGAAACTGTTGATGGATTTGTGTGAAACTGTTGATGGATTTGTGAGAAACTGTTGATGAATTTGTGTGAAACTGTTGATGGATTTGTGAGAAACTGTTGATGGATTTGTGAGAAACTGTTGATGATAAGTGTGAAACGATGGATTTATGAGAAACTGTTGATCGATTTGTGTGAAACTGTGGATGGATTTGTGTGAAACTGTGGATGGATTTGTGTGAAACTGTTGATGGAGTTATGAGAAACTGTTGATGGATTTGTGAGAAACTCTTGATGGATTTGTGTGAAACTGTTGATGGATTTATGTGAAACTGTTGATGGATTTGTGTGAAACTGTTGATGGATTTGTGTGAAACTGTTGATGGATTTGTGTGAAACTGTTGATGGATTTGTGTGAAACTGTTAAAGGATTTGTGTGAAACTGTTGATGGATTTGTGTGAAACTGTTGATGGATTTGTGAGAAACTGTTGATGGATTTGTGTGAAACTGTTGATGTATTTGTGAGAAACTGTTGAAATTGTCGACTAATAGTCTTGTGTGAACCTTGCAGGGAAACCCCGGCAGCCCAGCGTAGGCCGTGTGTGGGGCGCAACATTGAAGACAGCGATGCAGATTTGTATGCAGAATACCACGGAGCCATGGACAGTCGCAGTTCCTCAGAAAGCTCGCTGCTGGAGACTAAAGCTGGCGGGGATAGTGATGGTGTCCGAATCAGAACAGGTCGCATCCTCCCAGCTGACACCAGTGGGCATGGGAAAAAAATTGGGCCTTCCAGAAGAAGCAGCCTCAAGTACCAAGATCTGGTGCCCGATCTGGTATCTTCCATCAACACTGAGTTTTCCAGCATGCACCAACCAACACCGGCTATCAATTCCTCCACTGGCTATGACTTTCGGAGCTGGTTTGAAGGTCAGTGACACATTCAGCTGTTTTCATATAGAGTATTTGTTTGTCATTAGAGTGTTTGCTGAAGGCTAGCACTTGGAGAATTAGTTCCCCTCAAAAATATTTTAAGCCACCCACAGCCACGGGTACAGAATATTGAATGCATGCTATATACACTGTGTCACATACAGCATATTTCAGCCATGATGTATCCACTGTGTCACATACAGCATATTATAGCAATGATGTATCCACTGTGTCACATACAGCATATTATAGCAATGATGTATCCACTGTGTCACATACGGCATATTTCAGCCATGATGTATCCACTGTGTCACATACAGCATATTATAGCAATGATGTATCCACTGTGTCACATACAGCATATTTCAGTCATGATGTATCCACTGTGTCACATACAGCATATTTCAGTCATGATGTATCCACTGTGTCACATGCAGCATATTTCAGTCATGATGTATCCACTATCACATACAGCATATTTCAGTCATGATGTATCCACTGTGTCACATACAGCATATTTCAACCATGATGTATCCACTATCACATACAGCATATTTCAGTCATGATGTATCCACTGTGTCACATACAGCATATTTCAGTCATGATGTATCCACTATCACATACAGCATATTTCAGCCATGATGTATCCACTATCACATACAGCATATATCAGCCAGTGTATATCAGCATGTGTCACATACAGCATATTTCAGTCATGATGTATCCACTGTGTCACATACAGCATATTTCAGCCATGATGTATCCACTGTGTCACATACAGCATATTTCAGCCATGATGTATCCAATGTGTCACATACAGCATATTATAGCAATGATGTATCCACTATCACATATAGCATATTTCAGCCATGATGTATCCACTGTGTCACATGCAGCATATTTCAGCCATGATGTATCCACTGTGTCACATGCAGCATATTTCAGCCATGATGTATCCACTGTGTCACATACAGCATATTTCAGCCATGGTGTATCCACTGTGTCACATACAGCATATTTCAGCCATGATGTATCCACTGTGTCACATACAGCATATTATAGCAATGATGTATCCACTGTGTCACATACAGCATATTTCTGTCATGCTATATCCACTGTATCACATACAGCATATTTCAGCCATGATGTATCCACTGTGTCACATACAGCATATTTCAGTCATGATGTATCCACTATCACATACAGCATATTTCAGCCAGGATGTATCCACTGTGTCACATACAGCATATTTCAGCCATGATGTATCCACTATCACATACAGCATATTTCAGCCATGATGTATCCACTATCACATACAGCATATTTCAGCCATGATGTATCCACTGTGTCACATGCAGCATATTTCAACCATGATGTATCCACTGTGTCACATACAGCATATTTCGGCCATGGTGTATCCGCTGTGTCACATACAAAATATTTCAGCCATGATGTATCCACTGTGTCACATTAAGCATATTTCAGTTATGATGTATCCACTGTGTCACATAAAGCATATTTAAGTTATGATGTATCCACTGTGTCATATAAAGCATATTTCAGCCATGATGTATCCACTGTGTCATATAAAGCATTTTTCAGCCATGATGTATCCACTGTGTCACATAAAGTATATTTCAGCCAGGATGTATCCACTGTGTCACATACAGCATGTTTCAGCCATGGTGTATCCACTGTGTCACATACAGCATATTTCAGTCATGATATATCCACTGTGTCACATAACAGCATATTTCAGTCATGATGTATCCACTGTGTCACATGCAGCATATTTCAGTCATGATGTATCCACTGTGTCACATAAAGCATATTTCAGCCGTGATGTATCCACTATCACATGCAGCATATTTCAGCCATGGTGTATTCACTGTGTCACATACAGCGTATTTCAGTCATGATGTATTCACTGTATCACATAAAGCATATTTCAGCCATGATGTATCTACTGTGTCGCATAAAGCATATTTCAGCCATGATGTATCCATTGTGTCACATACAACATATTTCAGCCATGATTTATCCACTGTATCACATAAAGCATATTGCAGCCATGATGTATCCACTGTGTCACATAAAGCATATTTCAGCCATGATGTATCCACTGTGTCACATAAAGCATATTTCAGTCATGATGTATCCACTGTGTCACATACAGCATATTTCAGCCATGATGTATCCACTGTGTCACATAAAGCATATTTCAGCCATGATGTATCCACTGTGTCATACATATTATAGCTTATTATCAGCATGATGTATCCACTGTGTCACATACAGCATATTATAGCAATGATGTATCCACTGTGTCAAATACGCATACAGCATATTATCCAGTGACATGATGTATCCACTGTGTCACATACAGCATATTTGATGTATCCACTGCAATGATGTATCCACTGTGTCACATACAGCATATTATAGCAATGATGTATCAACTGTGTCACATACAGCATATTTCAGCCATGATGTATCCACTGTGTCACATACAGCATATTATAGCAATGATGTATCCACTGTGTCACATACAGCATATTTCAGTCATGATGTATCCACTGTGTCACATACAGCATATTTCAGTCATGATGTATCCACTGTGTCACATACAGCATATTTCAGTCATGATGTATCCACTATCACATACAGCATATTTCAGTCATGATGTATCCACTGTGTCACATACAGCATATTTCAACCATGATGTATCCACTATCACATACAGCATATTTCAGTCATGATGTATCCACTGTGTCACATACAGCATATTTCAGTCATGATGTATCCACTATCACATACAGCATATTTCAGCCATGATGTATCCACTATCACATACAGCATATTTCAGCCATGATATATCCAGTGTGTCACATACAGCATATTTCAGTCATGATGTATCCACTGTGTCACATACAGCATATTTCAGCCATGATGTATCCACTGTGTCACATACAGCATATTTCAGCCATGATGTATCCAATGTGTCACATACAGCATATTATAGCAATGATGTATCCACTATCACATATAGCATATTTCAGCCATGATGTATCCACTGTGTCACATGCAGCATATTTCAGCCATGATGTATCCACTGTGTCACATGCAGCATATTTCAGCCATGATGTATCCACTGTGTCACATACAGCATATTTCAGCCATGATGTATCCACTGTGTCACATACAGCATATTATAGCAATGATGTATCCACTGTGTCACATACAGCATATTTCTGTCATGCTATATCCACTGTATCACATACAGCATATTTCAGCCATGATGTATCCACTGTGTCACATACAGCATATTTCAGTCATGATGTATCCACTATCACATACAGCATATTTCAGCCAGGATGTATCCACTGTGTCACATACAGCATATTTCAGCCATGATGTATCCACTATCACATACAGCATATTTCAGCCATGATGTATCCACTATCACATACAGCATATTTCAGCCATGATGTATCCACTGTGTCACATGCAGCATATTTCAACCATGATGTATCCACTGTGTCACATACAGCATATTTCGGCCATGGTGTATCCGCTGTGTCACATACAAAATATTTCAGCCATGATGTATCCACTGTGTCACATTAAGCATATTTCAGTTATGATGTATCCACTGTGTCATATAAAGCATATTTCAGCCATGATGTATCCACTGTGTCATATAAAGCATTTTTCAGCCATGATGTATCCACTGTGTCACATAAAGTATATTTCAGCCAGGATGTATCCACAGTGTCACATACAGCATGTTTCAGCCATGGTGTATCCACTGTGTCACATACAGCATATTTCAGCCATGATGTATCCACTGTGTCACATAACAGCATATTTCAGTCATGATGTATCCACTGTGTCACATGCAGCATATTTCAATCATGATATATCCACTGTGTCATATAACAGCATATTTCAGTCATGATGTATCCACTGTGTCACATGCAGCATATTTCAGTCATGATGTATCCACTGTGTCACATGCAGCATATTTCAGTCATGATATATCCACTGTGTCATATAACAGCATATTTCAGTCATGATGTATCCACTGTGTCACATGCAGCATATTTCAGTCATGATGTATCCACTGTGTCACATAAAGCATATTTCAGCCGTGATGTATCTACTGTGTCGCATAAAGCATATTTCAGCCATGATGTATCCATTGTGTCACATACAACATATTTCAGCCATGATTTATCCACTGTATCACATAAAGCATATTGCAGCCGTGATGTATCCACTGTGTCACATAAAGCATATTTCAGCCATGATGTATCCACTGTGTCACATAAAGCATATTTCAGTCATGATGTATCCACTGTGTCACATACAGCATATTTCAGCCATGATGTATCCACTGTGTCACATAAAGCATATTTCAGCCATGATGTATCCACTGTGTCACATACAGCATATTATAGCAATGATGTATCCACTATGTCACATACAGCATATTATAGCAATGATGTATCCACTGTGTCAAATACGGCATATTTCAGCCATGATGTATCCACTGTGACACATAAAGCATATTTCAGCCATGATGTATCCACTGTGTCACATACAGCATATTTCAGCCATGATGTATCCACTGTGTCACATACAGCATATTTTAGCCTTGATGTATCCACTGTGTCAAATACGGCATATTTCAGCCATGATGTATCCACTGTGACACATAAAGCATATTTCAGCCATGATGTATCCACTGTGTCACATACAGCATATTTCAGCCATGATGTATCCACTGTGTCACATACAGCATATTTTAGCCTTGATGTATCCACTGTGTCACATACAGCATATTTCAGCCATGATGTATCCACTGTATGTCTGAGGGAATATGTTAGTTGTTCTGGACCCAGTCTGTCAGTTAGACAATAATGCAGCCATAGTGTGTTTGATTGATAATCTGTCAACATACATTTGTATCCCAACATAAACTGTCAACATACATTTGTATCCCAACATAATCTGTCAACATACATTTGTATCCCAACATAAACTGTCAACATACATTTGTATCCCAACATAATCTGTCAACATACATTTGTATCCCAACATAAACTGTCAACATACATTTGTATCCCAACATAAACTGTCAACATACATTTGTATCCCAACATAAACTGTCAACATACATTTGTATCCCAACATAATCTGTCAACATACATTTGTATCCCAACATAAACTGTCAACATACATTTGTATCCCAACATAATCTGTCGACATACATTTGTATCCCAACATAAACTGTCAACATACATTTGTATCCCAACATAAACTGTCAACGTACATTTGTATCCCAACATAATCTGTCAACATACATTTGTATCCCAACATAATCTGTCAACATACATTTGTATCTCAACATAATCTGTCAACATACATTTGTATCCCAACATAATCTGTCAACATACATTTGTATCCCAACATAATATGTCAACATACATTTGTATTCCAACATAACTGGTTCATCTTATGTTAGGTGTGTACGAAGAGCACAGAAGATTTATGGCAGACGACAGTCAAATGCAGCAGCCACGAGTACATTCCTCCAGCGATCTCACAATGATTGGCAAATATGGGGACCGCTCACGCAGCTGGAGTTATGGTAGGTTAAACTTGTCACTCTAGCAACAGAGTCCAATCATGTAGCTAGTGTTATGGTAGTTGCAACTTGAACAAGACAGAACAGTTGTTTATTAGGCAGCAGGGTGTTTAGTTCCTTCCTAAAGCTCCATATCCATGATCCTGTGGCACCAGTGAATGCCCTCCATTGTGTGCAGGAGCCAGTAAGTGAATATTGGTAGTTTCTTAGTTAGTGTCCACATCCCCCACCCCCATTGAGCAGCATTGACCTGACCACACACAGAGTCAGACACTTCAGTATCATGACTGATTTCTGATGACTTCAACAGATTTGCTAGCGCCATGAAAGTCTTTCTTGCCCCTTGTATCTTTATTTATGTGTCCACTGCTGTTGACATCAGTGCCCTAGCAGGTGCATGACTCCTGTTGCTAAAGGGGAGTTCAACCAAGGATGATGGACCAGTGCTTGCCTGATGTAGGCTGACCTTGTCCCTTCCCTGGGAATTCTTACACACAGTCGCTGTGGTTTCCCTTCAGGGACATTTAATCTTGCTCCTGATATTATCATTAAGACTTAAGGGCATTGTCAGCAACTTCATTATGGTTGAGATCTGAGGCCAATGTCAACAACTTCATTATGGTTAAGATCTAAGGTCAATGTCAACAACTTCATTATGGTTAAGATCTAAGGTCAATGTCAACAACTTCATTATTTTTTAGATCTGAGGGCATTGTCAACAACTTCATTATGGTTAAGATCTAAGGTCAATG